AGCCCGCCTGTGTCGTGCTCCTCGTCTCCTCGTCTCCTCGGCTCCATGCTATCCGAGACACACCTACGTGGCCAGCCCGCCTGCCTCGTGGTCCTCGGCTCCATGCTCCTCGAGACCGCGTCTGCTCGGCCAGCCCACCTGAAAGCTGAACCCATGCCTTGAACTCCCGTTACAACGACCGACGTATAACTTCTTTCCGGGGGGGGGGGATATGATGAGAATAATAATTATGATAAGATTCGGTTGACGTCAAATGACGCCTCACGCAACAGCACCTGGTCAATGCAGACCGGAACGCCAATCGAGGCGCATTAACATCCTGCCAAAGCTCAATTCTTCACACCACGCCAACACAAAGTCAGATGCTACCAGCCTGCCCCCTGCAAGCGGGCAGCTCAGGAAGCAGTAAGCTTCCCTATAAATACCCTCTCGTTCATCAGAAAGAGGGAGGGAGAGACAGACACACAAAAACACTTCTTCATCTGAAACCACCTCCACATTTGCTAACTTGATCATCAGAGGGGTCGGGTCGAGCACCTCGGCCCGAGCTTTGTGCAGGTGCGAAGCCGAAGGTCCCCTTCGGATGCGCAGGCAAGGAGTTCCTGCCCGGAGGAGACGGCTACACCGTCCCGATCGGACACCGCACCCGACCGCCTCAGCGGGCTCGAGGAACGCCCTAGGGAGATCCCCGTCGTCCGGACCCGAACCAAGCCGCGTCGGCCCCGAGGCCACGGCTCAAAGTTGTTTCCTGCAACATCCTTGCACTGTTAATATGGATGCCACCCGCCTCACATCTCCTCATCGCGCCGACCAAGGAACGCATCAGTTCTTTGCATCGCTGGAACTCTTCTTTTAACCACGCTATTTGAACCAGACTTCACTATTCCTCAGAACCCAAATTCCAAAGGATATTGCTCGTATTAATTTACGACTACTTTTTTTTTTTTTTTGTAGATGTTAAAGAAGGCGGCAGCCAGATTTGCACATGTTAAACATCTCCAAATTGGGTGCACATGCAAGTTTGCATACGTTTTGCCGACATTCATGGCCACCTAGTTTCATTCCCTCTGTGTGTTTTCTTTCAATTCTGCTGACTTGGAGACAACTATTTTATTATAATTTTACGTGTTTTTTTTTCTTCTATTTTTCATTTTGGTTACATATTGTGTCTGAATCATATGTCCCAAATAAAAAATAAAGCTGAGGTACTACACACATTAATACACATCATCAAACTCTTGTGATACGTTTCACAGTACCAAGACCCAAACAACACATCCCTGGAATGAAGCACGTTCGATGCCTCTTATATATTTATTCCGATATAGCTGAAACATATTTGGATAGATGGATAGATATTTATAGAGGTAGAAGGAGCTCATATCAACCTCGCTTCTTACGTGAAATCTAACTGTCGCATAATATATATATATATATATATATATATATATATATATATATATATATATATATATATATATATAAAGGTTCATTTATTTGATGAATGGAAGATGCGGGGGACTACTTACCGTCCTCCTTGGATTTCTCATCCTCCTCGGTCTGGAAGGCGGAGACGGGGAAGGAGAGACCGATGCCGGCTTGGGTCTTGAAGGTGATCCGCTTCGACTCGGGGTCGTCGATGCACATGTCGGAGAGGGAGACCCAGATGAGGAGCTCCCGGCTCTTGACCCCGCACAATCGCTTCATCCGCCGGTCCTCCACGAAGGCCGTGACCTGCGGCGCGTACGACACTGTTTTTCCGATCGCCTTGAAGACGTGGGTGGCGGCCTTCTTCTGCTTCAGCCACACGAACCCGGTGGCCCGGTTGTAGCCGACCTCCTCCAAGGCCGGCAGCGGGAGGAGGCCCCTGGGCAGGTGGATCTCGTCCAGTAGCTTCATCGACTGCTCCTTGCAGAGTCCGGCGCCGTGGTAGACCTCCGCGCCCTCGCGTTGGCTGTCGATCATCGCCTGCGTCGACATCGCCTCCGCAACGGCCGATGAAAGGGAGGCGGAATTGTGGGGTTGAAGGGGTGGGGATCAGAGCCGGGTTTAAATAATGTGGGGGAGAGTGTGTTATGTGGATTTACGGAAACACCCCCGGGAATGCAAAGAGGTCCATTCGTGTCGTCGCTGTACGTGGAAAGTAGTTGGGGGATATTGAAATTGCACAGCGAGACGAACCCTCTCCCTGTTTTCAATTGAAATTGCTCCTTCCAGTCGTCTTAATTTGGGCAATCTTTTTTTCTTTTTTATGAAAATGATTAATCGTGCCTTTAATTTTACATTTTTCATATTTTCAATTGAAATGGTACCTACCAATCACATTAATTTCGACAATCGTTTTTTCTTTTTTTTTTTTATGAAAAAACATTAATCTTATCTTTATTTTTTTTCCCCACCGACGCTTGTCATTTTCTCAATTGAAATTGCCCCTATCGGTCCTACTAATTTGGCTCTTAAAATTACTAAATATCCTTGTGATGATACTTAGATATAGAATGATTTTTTTTTGTTTTGAGATAGCTTCATCAAGAGGTGCAATTTAATTTCAAATGTGGGGAACTAAATCAAGCTTGGTATGACTGGTAGTATCTGAGGAAACTTTCCATGATTTCTAGAATATAAATTTTCTACTTGGAAACTTGCACACTTCCAACTATTGATCGATGCCTTTATGTAAGAAAGTTATCCATTAATCATCTATTCTTTTAATGTTCTTTTAATTGTATTTATATGTACTAAAATTTGGATATCACTTTGAACACTTCATTTTTCTTTTTTCATTACCTTAAAAAAAAAGGTGAATTTTAATTGTATTTTATTTCAGAAGAAAAGGCGAATACACACATACATGCATGCACCGTATCATTCATTACATGGTATCAGAAAAGGACTCTTGGGTAAACTATGAGCCACCGTTGTAGCATATCGTCTGCATGATACGGGTGGAGATTCCGTAGAGGTTGCTGATGAAACCCAACCACAACAAAAGCATGGACATCGATGAACTAGAGAAGAATGCAAACCAGCAACGGTAATCGATCATCTCACAAGCCCGTAAACCACGACGGTGATTCCTCTGCCGGAAAGCCAGCCTCATGAGCCTGCGTCGATGTTGCGTGGCCCAAGTGGCACCGATGAGGATCCTATCTTAAGCCGAAGCATAGGACGCAACTCCACTTGGAGTTAAAAGCTTCACTACTGCCAGAGATGAGTGCAGCGAAGAGTCCGAGGACACCATCCATGGAGTACTGCCGCCGGCTCCGGAGACGCACTCCGCCAGGCCGTGCCGTCGCGGCTTCTTGCCCTCGCCTCGTCTCCGCCGTAGCCATCTTGCTGCCACCGGGCGAGCAACTGTGCGTGCTACCTCCGCAAAAAAGGCCCCCACTTCGTCGTGGGGTGGGGAGGATACGCGACTGTGGATGTTGCAGTGGTCAAACTCTTGTCGGGATCAATGTGGCATTTCACGTTAGTCACCACAACATGTAAAATGATGATTGATGGCAACTTCAGGTGACGATTGCAACACCAGTCACACGAAGAGGCTCAATGTTTCCATGTCAAACGACCGATGAACGATCGAAAGGACTGACCACCCCTCGTGTGAAAGGATAACACTGACGAATGAAATAAGCCCACAGAGCAATTACACGGGAATCGATTCGACAGCAGCACCGTCCACAGACTCGTTATCGGTGGTGGAAACTCCACCATCCATGGCAACTCGGAGCAGATGTGCTCCGGTCACCGTGTTTCATTCCAAATGCACATCTAACACGCCACCATGCTGCATGCATGTGTTTGACGTCCAGCAGAACACCTGGGATCTGCTCCCGGTCAAACCATGGCGAGCCACGCAGGCCAAATCTTCAACCCAAACCACCGTCCCTCTCTCTCTCTCTCTCTCTCTCTCTCTCTCTCCAAACGCTTGACTCTCTTTTAGAATCAACACTTCCTTTTTGTCTCAATGCCATCCTCCCACAGTGGCATCTCCACTTCTCCTTTTACTCTCCTTAGTTACCTCCACTGTCTCCTCATCCTCATATCTTGTCTGCCATTCTACAATTATTGACCCCTTCTTTTCTTTCCTCTTTTCCACTGTATATATACACGAACCATCAGGTGCATCTCACTCCAACAGCACCACTGCTCCCCAGATTCTTGCCACTCCCACTCTCCTCCTCCCCCTCCTCGTGCCTCCTTCATCGACCGGATGGCAGAGATCGACGAAGCTCTTCTCACGGAGTTGCTGGAAGAGCCGTGCGCGGAGGAGGCCGAGGACGACGATCGTTTAAGCTACGTGATTCGATCTCTGGAGGCGGAGATCAGCAACATGGACGCCGTAACAACAGGGGACGAGGGTGGATCGAGCGCAGGTGCCGAGGAAGCGAGTGATGATGGCGGATGGGAGGAGTTGCTCTCGGCTGTCGATGGCGACGATACAGCAACGCGTGTAGAGGACGAGCTGTTCGACTGCGTCGACGTCGGTGTCGAGCCTGACTCGGCCGGCGATGCCGTGAGCGATTGGTTCATGGATTGGGATGTTTAGTTCGTATATTCTAATCCGATATGACTTATTAGCCGTGTGGGGTGTGGTTTATACGTGTGTGTGTGTGTGTGTGTATATATATATATATATATATATAAACCAATGTAGTGTGCTGCTATATATTATATCAGATCGCCTCTTCATATAGGCTTCTAATACTGAAAAGCTCTGAAAGAAAAGGAAAAGTGATACTACATGTGTATTCTTATACATTTTAGAAAATGACGTATTTGTCACCGTAATGACTAGTATACTTCGATGTGTGCCATCAGAAGACTATAGCCTGCGGAGGTGTGGGGTCCGCCATTACAAATGATTAGTTGACATTGTCTCGTTTAAATGACCAGCATTTCGACCGCCATCCAAACAACCCAATCCCTCTGTCTCGTCTTGCGACAGAAGGAACCCTTCGCTTCGAGAAACCCTCTTCTCCCCTCGTTCAAGAATCATTCAAGAAAGCTCCTCCGGCTTCGTCGTCGTCGTCGTCGATTGCGTAATCCTTCTCGCCATCGTCTACGACCGCTTGTGTTGCGCACAAGATCGTCTCCATCGAGAGTTGATATTTCGGGAAACTTCTTCGTCCTTGTCCTTCTCCTCCGCCTTCGATCGCTTGGATGACGGACATGACCGTTCCCATCGAGGTCTGCTTTCGTGGAACCTTCTCGTCTTCGTCACACTCGGCTTCGACCCCCTTGAGGATGGCGGATGGGATCGTCCCCGCTAGGGTCCCTCGGATGCCAGGGCTCCTCCATGCCGGCGTTTTCTACCTGCCGGGGCCCTTGAGAGTGGGAGAATGACACGCCGCTAGCTCCGGATGGCCAACCAGATCGACGGAGCGAGTACCCTCCCGCCGCCTACCTCGGTAAGAAAAAAATCCTTCCTGATCCTTAGACTTCTTAATCTTTTTTTTTCCGTTTCTTGAATTTTTGGTGGCGGTTCAGTGAGACTCGCAATTATGGTTTGATGATTATTAATCTATTTCTCTTCCTAGATAAGTAGTTCTTGAAAATTTCCCAATTCTAGGGTTGCCAGGGAGAAATGTAATTGGAGTTTAGAGATTATCGGTCCTGCCTCCTTTGTTCTGTTTTCCATGACCTGAACTAGTATTCTTGTGTTCTTCTGATAAATGCATCTAGGAAAGTGAATCGGGGATGATGCAACTAGAATGATATACGATTCATATGACCTTCTGTAGGACGACATCAAGAACGTACTAGGATCTCTGTGCAATGAAGTTTTTTGAATCAAGAAATGATAAAAGTTCATGATCTATTTAGAATGTATACAAGAATAAGAAATCCAAGATCATTGGTTTATATTTGACATCGTATCTTGTTCATAATATATTCTGTGAACAGGTTACTTTCATGCTTCTGACAAGGCACGCACCACAGTTTAAAAGTCTCGATCAGGTTATTTAGTTTCACCTTATAAATCGTTCAGCATATCTTTTACTTGTGTTCATGCTTTAGGTGACTCTGTAATCATTACATGGTATAGTTTTGTTTTGACGAACATGTAGAACACATGTATCCATTCTTTTTTCTGAAACGAGTGATGCTGCTTGCCGTACAGCTCACCCTAGCATGCCTGCTGTAATAGGATGGCTTGGTCAACTTGGTATCGTCCATTACTTGTCTATTTGTTGGTCCGATCATTATTTCACAGCATCATGCTGAATAGAATTAAGTCATATAGGACATCGATCTCAGAACGATGATTAGGCTAGGCTTTTTCATTCTGCAGATCTAGCACCTGCATTTATAGATTAGTGACACCGGCACATCTAAGTAGTACTTCATCCAATTGTTATCGAAAGGGCAAATTACTTCATATAAAATAGATTAAGATGCTTGCATGCAATTGAATTGTCTAGCTTTGCTTGAATTGTTATTTGGTAAATCTGCTATTAGAAAATTCTTTCATCTTTTTCTCCATTAGTCCATTCCTCATGTATGTTTATATATTACATGTGTTTTTTCCTGTCATAGATATTCATGCCCGAAAGATCTATTTATCTGACTCCAAGAATTTTCTGTATGTATTTGATCCGTGTGGTAGGACGAACAAACATAAAGATTCTAGTTTTGCGCCTTGGAGTGACACAAACTCATTGCTTGATAATGCCCTTTTTGTAGCAATAACTTGTTAGTCTTTGGAAAGAAAATGAGAGCAAGTGAAGTTTTATCTTGTGCCACCTTAAGCGTCGAAGGCCGTCTTATCTGTAGCTGGCCGTAAGTCTTTTAACTTTGTACTTGTCAAATATTTTTCTATCTCCCAGTTTGCTACTGTTGTTGGCATCGAAGAGAAGTTGGTTCATATGGTCTCCCAGTTGATCCTGGAGGCTGCCAGAAGGCAATTTACGCTCTTTTTTTGTTTTTGGGAATAGGTTTGACAAATCTGAGATTCATTTATAATCTTAACGTTAAATCGCAAATTTGCTGTGTTGAGCTGTTAAGCCATCCAATAATAATCTCTTTAAATGTGACAGATTAAAGCTGCAAATTTCTGCTGTATGTAGTAGGAGGGCTTTGACAAACAGATTAATGTCTGAAACGCTGGTTCGGTTTTCAGGTATTACGAAATCCATGATTTCAATTTACGGGACCATACATATTTGTCGTCTTCTTTCAATTAGTCAGTATGGGAAAAGTTTGTATTTAATGCTACGTGAGTTCTATTCATGTTATTTTGTACATCCTAAACAATATACCAAAGAATATAAATAATGTGCTTTCTAGAAACGAAATGTAGCCAACTAGCGGGAACATCTTATCTTGCTGTGTCGTCGGTATAAACATACAAAAGGGGGGGATGGATGTGTCTCATTCGTATATTGTATCCACCATGGAACCTCTGGTATAGCTAGATAATTTTCTGTGTTGTTTATCTTGATTGCAAATGTCGTGAAGACCACGTGAAGCGGTGCAAATTTATGGGGGCAAAGGATTTAGGCCACTTGGCCTACATTGATTTTCGGGCATGACAAATGTACAACTCTTGTAGCAGTGCAAATTAATTTTATCTGCTTATAGTGGTTGGTCATAGTTAAATTTTCTTATTGGCTTATTGTTATGTGAGTTATTTAATGATTTCATGTAGTGTCTTATTAAATTTTCTTTATGTATGTGCTGTTTCTACATTTCACTGCTTATGTTACTAGTTGAACTAGTATCTGATTTTTACTCTCTTTTTTTTTTCGGTAAGATCTAAAAAGATCTTACTAGAAATTAATTATTGACTTAAAAAGAACTTTTTTTTAGAGATTTATTATATTAAATGTATCAAAGTTTTCTATTGCTGACTACTTATATTAATTAGCCACCAGGATTTTATGGTCTGTATATATCAAGTTTTCTCTATTGCTTACTAATTGTATACACGATAGTAATGTTATTTTCTAGTGATATTTTTGTTGATGAAATTAAATTATTTTAAAACTCGAAATATATTTTAAAACCAAACTATTCAACAGTGTGGTTTGATTTTGAGAGTAAAAAATTCATCCAGAGGTGACGGAAAGGAGATTTGGGGGCCGCGATGCAGAAGGCGGCGATGGTTGGAGAGCTAGAGAGCTAGAGAGGAGGGAGGAGGAGGTTGAGGAGGGAGGGGACAAGGAGAGAGACAGAGGGGAAGGGAAGGTGACGGGGTAAAAGAGAAGGGGTGGGAGAGGGAGATGGGGAAGGTGACGGATGGAAAGGTTGAGAAGAAGGTAAAAGAGGGAGGGGGAGGAGTGCGAGAAGGCAGAGAGGGAGATGAGGGGGAGGAGAAGGGATACATCATTTACTGGTGCCGCCGCACAGGACAATAATTTAGTAATAAGAGAGAGAGACAAGAAAAAAAAATAAAACACTCGGTAATAGCTGCCAGATTTTAACCAAATACAAACACCGGTATATGCCAGGCCTTAGGTAATAAATATGAAAATCTAAGACCACCCAAAGACGAAGTCCAGCACATAAACGAGAACCAGCGAGAGCGGATACAACAAGAAGGCAACAAAGCACGTCCACAGGGGGAATGTGGTACGTAGGCTGGTGAAGATGCCCATCACAATGCAAACAACGAGAATGACCAGCACCTCAGCCGAGAAGTCCCACGTCAAGTGTCTCACGTAGACGAGGGACAGAAACACGGCCAGACACAGAACGTTGTTCATCGTCGCCCCACCATATATCTGCAGCATTTGAGAGCACACATCAGTAGATTTAGTTGACAAAAGTTCCTGGTAGAATACAGCTTGGAAGACAAACCTCGGAAAATGTGAGTGAGGCAGTTCTTTGCTTCTTGCGGCTGGCAAAAATAATTGCTGAGACGGCCTCGCTGGAGTTGGTCGCCAATGGCATGGCAATGAAAGATATGAAAAAGGAAGGTATCTTTGTAGCACTTGAGAAATTATCAACAGCATCTACAAGAGGATCTGCGAAAACAGCTGCAATAAAAGTTCCAAGAACCAAAAGCAGAATTGCTTTAAAGCATATCCATGCTGGACTTTCAGTACCATCCGCAGCTTCCTCACTCTGATCATGAAGCATATTGTGTTCATTCCTTGCTTTCTGCATGATATAAAAGACTTTTGTAACTTAATGCCTCCACCAAGTAGCGCATTGTCAAAAAATGAACTTACCACGTGGAAATGATGCAACTTCTGTGAGTAAGAACCAGAAAATGCGACAGACCGGTATGCCTCATCAATCCATTTCGAGATACCCTCAATAAACTCTTCTTCTTGAATATTGTCATCACGTGATGTATCAAACTCATTCATCACTTTATCTACAGCGCCGTCCTTATCCAAATCTATTTCACCCATCTTAAGTCCTATGATAAGTGCTCTCAACTCAGAACGTGATATTGATTGATTTTTATCCAGATCTACTTTATGGAACAGCCTGCATAAAAACATATTGAAATGATAGCTCAAAGATGTAGAGATCTTTGGAAATGTGACAAATGCTAGATAAAAGAACTAACTTTTTGATGACATGTGAATTCGGCTTTCCATTGTCATCCATCAGATGTCCAAGGGATTGCGTATGAACATGTTTTAGAATTCCTGACATCACAAGCCTATGCTTAGCAAACTCCAGTCTTCTCCTCTGAATCCATGGCTGCAAGACCTGGTCCATTGAGATGGATGCATAGAGTAGTAAACAATATCGATCAGCCAGGTTTCATAATTAGTTATGAAAATAACATGTCATAATTATGAGGCCTTGGCTAATTATGATACTCAACCCCATTAATTATGAGGCCTTGGCTAATAACATAAGACTGATACTAAGATATAAAAAAACTAATTAGATTTGAATTAACATGTCATCAACCATAACAAATTACCTGATACAAGCAGTAAGACAGCAAAAGTGCAATTGCAACAATGAGTGCAACCAAGACTGCTAAACGTTGTCCAGAAGGAAACTTGAAAATTCTTGGTAGTTGCACAATAATAAATGGAACAACAGATATAGCCATGATCCTTGCAGCATAGCTCGTTTGAACATCAGTAGAAATACCAGATGCTTCAAAGATTAAAAAAAAATTACATAATCACAGTTCAACCAGATAAATAAAACAATAATCTCGTACTAGTTTGAGGAACTAGAATATGCAAGATTATTACATACATTTCCTTTGACAAATGTGTAAGAACAATCTATATAGTTACTATATCAGCACTAAAGGATTATATCCAGCAATGACCACTAAATAATTCGAAACAGATTAAACAGTCTAATCTTAAATTCACTGCTTTGTCCACATTCAGCAGATGTAATTAACTGGATCTATAACTAGCAAAAGTCGATGACATTATCATCATGCACAATCTAGTATTACTTCATCCAAGTAATTAACATGCGATTAAAATTCAAAATCTACCATAAAAAGAGAAACTCGATTTTTGATTGATCAAGATGATTTCTTTTCTTTTTCAACCTTTCCAAATTGAGATCATAATTGTGATTATGACTTTCATTGAGAATTTTCTGCCTGTTCTAGCACCAGGATCAAAACCACCATACACCATGTGATCAAGCTGATTTCTTGCAATTGCAAAACCTCAATCCAGTCATTCGAGGAATCTTACAGCCATGACGTCCATGACAAACTCCATCCTGGACTGCATCCTAAAACCTCTTGGTACAGAACAATTTTTTAGATGATATACTCCAACAGACAACCACGCAGCCCTTCAAGTAAGCACTAGTTCGCACACAGCTTTCTAAGTTTTTAAGTAGCTCTCCCATATAGAATATAAAAGGAGAGAACAATACAAGGTTGGGCTAAAACAAACATGGAAGCTAAATTGAAATTTGCAGGTTGCTTGTTTAAGCTCTAATAGAGGCAATAGATCTTTCATTCTCCAAATTCTAATCAGCTCTTGACTTCATCATAGTCTCACTAACTAAAACCATGCTGATTAATAAACCCAAAGTATTGGCCCAATGTAGCTGGCCAATAAAAATGGGGCTAAGGCCATGGAATATTTTCTAGAATAGCATATTCTGATCAGAAAAATAAGCAGAATGAAGTGTGTGTGTGTGTGTGTAGCATATGGTAGAACTAAAGGTAGGAATTTTTCACAGAGCAAAATGAAGAGAAAGTTGCACAAAAACTAACAAGCAACTCTGCAGAAAACTCTGAAAGGGGCATATCAAATAGACTGGAACCAAAGCAAATATATGCTTATAGCAGATCTTATAATTATTTCACAGAGAAAAATAGAAAAGAAAGTTCTGCAATCTGTACAAACACTTGAATAATTCTGCAAAAAGTTCAAGAAGGTGCATACCAAACAGACTGAAACCTCTGGTATCTTGTAAATCTACCGAAGTAGAACTATCAGAAAGATCGCATTTCCCAACAACAACACAAGAACCCCAGAGTAAGGTTAAAAGCATCACAGTTGATCCAGCAAGCAAACCCATTCCAATCAAGACTTGACTTTGAGCAGTTTCTTTGCTCCCAGATAGACCAGATACTGCAAAATTTGTTACGTAAATGATCAGCAAAAGTTCATCAACTGCAAGTCTTTCGAGATTCTATTAAATGACTTAAATTTTGAGCAGTTTCTTTGCTCCCAGATAGACCAAGTACTGCAAATTTCATTGTGTAAAGTATGTATCAGCAAAAACACATCAACTATAATTCATTCAAGAGTCTATTGAACAAAGTACTATTCTCTAAATTACCTAGATTTGATACAGGACATAGATTTGGCTTAGTTATAAATTACCATCTCATGAAACACATTTTGTACTTAAGAAAAAGCATGAGTTCTTGTCCAAAACTTAGCTTTGATGGTCCACGTCCACCTCGTAACCCAAGGTATTATCACAATTCACCAGACAAAAGAGAGACATTCAAATGCACTGTTACAGTAGCAAAATTCATCCATCTTAATATCAACCAAACAACCAGTTTGTACCTGTCACGATCCAGTGTGACGGGTCATCTGTGATGGGATAACTGATTCGTGAAGTTATTGAGCCTGAACCACCGACTCAGAATGGTAGGCACAAGTTTCTAATGTGAGACTAAATTAGGAAGCATAAGCTTCCAATGTGGGACTAAATTAGGGTCCTACATTCCCCTCTGCTTGAGGGCTTGATGTCCTTGTCAAGACTTAGCGTATCCGAAAACTAAACTCTAGCATGGTGTATGCAAGACCTAATAGTGGTTCCATAATGTAATCCGCCCTCTGACGCCATCAACGGATAGTTCATTCCTACTCGGGCCTCTTTCCATGCTCCAATACTATGTTTGCTTTGATACCAACTCCCACAACCACTGACCCAAGATACTTAAATTAGGTTAACACTATCAGTCTCTTATAAGTCAATCTAAATCTTAGCACACTTCGACTAAATTGGGGTGTTATAGTAACCTTGCTAGAAAGTAGAAATATACATGCATGTAACTTCCCCTTAATATGTATCACTTATGCATGCTAACATGATCATTATTAGCGCATCCAATCATCATTGTTTATTGTATCTCAAACATTAATACATGGATTACCTAGACATTAGTAAAGCCACCAAAGCGCTCATATCACTCTGGCACCCATTAGAGGAAAATATTGGTGCTAGAAGTTTTAGAGAATTATACTGCATTTCCATTGGAGGATCAACATAAGTTCAATCGAACGTTGGTAAACAGATTTGATGATGTATCATAAGTTAAACTAAAACTAGATAAGTAGATCTATGTCACATGATCCACATGCATGATCATGTAGGGCCACAAATATAAGCACCTCTCTTGAAGGGGCATGGCACCAATCATAAATGAAGCCTTCAATAATACAAAATCTTTTGAGCAATAGATGATTCTTATGAAGCAGTTTGTCAAGGTTCAAAAATGACAAACCAATCATTACAAGAAGAAACACTAAACCAATCAATTAATTCATTTGCCAATGTGGCCTTTGATGTATCAGCAGCAAAGTCTAACACTTAGATCGCTCCTTCAAATTAGGTGAGTCAAAGATGTGCAAATTCCAACAGTCCTATCACAGTTCTGATATGTTAGTTTCAAACTTCAGAATTTTGGCCAAAGTATGCATAATGTTTAAAAAAGATGATACAGAGATGAAAATGTCAAAAGACTACATGAAATATTGCACATAGCTCAGAAGAAACTGAAGCTTTAGACCTCAGAATAATAGTAACAGTGACGATATATTTTAGAAAAGGAAAAATATGAATTGAAGCACTTCAAATATTGCATTAACAACAACACATGTTTCATTGGCATGAAACGTTTTGGAACAACAAAAAGTTCTGCTGAGAAGATATGTGAACATTGACATGTTTTTCACTTTTATTTTACTCTGGAGACACAAGCATTGTACAAACTCAGGATAAGGAACCAATGTGTTAATTCTTGATATTAGTCTATACATATCGATTTTTACCGATCCAACCAAGTATCGGCATCAAAACAAATAGGTCGATACTAATACAATATGAGTGACTTTTATTTTTTGTTGTTAAATTCGGTGATACTAGGTGGTACAAGTTGGTATACTGCCAGTGTATTGGTTGGATAGTTCGCCGAAACCAATATTAAAACCAAATATTTAAATCCATGGGTAGAACCACAAATTGATTGCATTAAGTCCCTTATTTCTACAGCCAGATGATGGAGATGTTCACTAAAAAAAAAAAGCTCCAAAGGACTCAATCTTAAGGCAGTTCAAGCACTAGAATGAGCAAGGAGCAAATTAACCAAGCAAAAGCAAGAAATAAAATTTAAAGCAATTCAATTCTTTTCACAGTGAATTCAGCATAAGACAACTAAAAACTTATATAGAACCTGTGACTATAAGAATTCATGAAGTTCCAGATCTTTCCAAGATTTTCAGATGAAACTTGAGCCAAGATTTTAAGCTTTTCTATGTTCTGAACACAACATGGTAAACTTGGCTACATTGGCACTCACGTTACACAGTGTACATAAAACAGTGGAGTTGTTCTTTCCATCGCTGACTCTATAAGCAATCTTCACATGTCATCTACGATAAACATCAACCTGAGGCTATGCTTGGCACCATCATATACGGCTAAAATAATTATGGTCCATTATGCTAACAACAGAATCGATCACATAATTGATGACAGTTTTTATTCTCCATATACTGATCTTGATGTTCTACACATCACCATGAAAATGATTGACAAGATATTTGACCAATAAACCGGTGTGGTGTGCCTAAACTAGCTGGCTTTTGGGTTCCTTCTCGCCAGATCAAATAATCGAACCAAACATTTAACACGAGAATATATCTACAACTAAAACCCATATCAAACGTCAAGCTTCTTTGACGTGAAACACGGTTACAGAATATTATATGAAAATTAGATGATCACCCTTCAGATACTTGTGCCAATACCTCGATAACAACGCACCACTAAATAATTTGGGGAACGATATAATTTCGTAAGGGTCTTTCGCTTTAGAGGAAAGGTAGCTTGCTCTGGTAGCCCTAATTCTCTCACCAATCCGACACCTATTTTGTAGCCAACAGCGTTGGAGGATTTTTTTCCACTTTTCTTTTTGACAGTTCCATTTCTTTCTGTCGGCGTAAGGGATGTGTTCGCCTCCATCACCCCTTGACATTCTCGAGGACAGAAGGAGAAGGTCCGGCCATATCTGGGTGGATTCTTGATCGTCCCTGCGGGATATGGTGGGAGTACGCCTCACGATTCTGCTAGCATATTTCTGATTCCTCCTAAGCTACTTTTGGTTTGATTAGTTTCTTGGTGGCAATCTCGCACACAACATAAAGGATTCGAACACTAAATTATAAATGTTTTGTCATCACGATAACAACGACCAATAGAAATCAAGAAACAGAAAAAGGAACCCGCCCACCGCAAGATCGAAGCCAACGAATTCAGACCACTGATATCAAGCGAAGCGAGAAGCAGATCTGTTTAATCTTGACGAGAACCCGAGCTGTGGCAGAGAGATCGGCGACCAAAATCAATAAAGAGAAAAGAAAGACCTACCAAGAATAAGCATGGCGTCGGGAAGAGCCCCAAGAATCGGGAGGAAGAGACCGCCCACGATCCCAGGGCCCAAGATCTGGAGCAGCAGCTCGCTCCCGGACGAGAGGTACGTCGCCGCCTTAAACATCAAGAACCCGTACACCAACACGAGGAACAAGTTTCCGACGACCGTGGTGGTGCAAGGAAGGAACCCGTACGTGGGCTCACACGACTCCGTGGCGCTCCCCCGAGGGAGGACAAGAAAAGGGCCATACTCGTAAGCCGCGTCGGTGCGGCCAGAGAATCCGTCGGAGATGGGCAGATCGAACGCTTCTTCCTCTGCCAGCGGCGATATAGGGCGGCCATCGGCGCATCGGCCGGCGATGAGGAGGAGAAGGGAGGGGAAGATGAAGGCGATGAGGAGAGGGAGAGGAAAGGTAACAGGCTTTCGCGCCATCTGGCCCTCGAGAACGAACAAAAGAAGGTGCACACGATGGATGCAAGAAAGAGACGGCTATTAGTAAACGAGAATATCTTTTGCGAATAAGTCCATGACGTGTCAATAATTGGTTTCCTTGTATCAATCAATTGGTTCGAACCGATGACACAATCCCAATGTGTTTGAGCTCAAGCCGAACATATGTCAAATTTGAGGCGTTTACATATCAAACCACTTTATTCTGACACTGTAAAGTGCGATGTGATCGAGAGAGAGAGGTGGAAAGATGAGGCCGAGTCTGGCGGGAACGACTTCGGGTGCGTGCGATGCCGCGTGCAGTCTTCAGTTGCACGTCGTGGGGTGGGGTGGTCGTTTGCGATCACGTGATAACCCTGTGCGACGGTTCCTCGTCGGAGATGCTTGCTATATCTTTTCGTAGTGTCACTTCAAACTATGTCGGTGGGAGGTGACTGCTGAGGCACATCGTTTTCTGTCACCCGTGCATCACGGGGTTGATACATACGTCGATGGGACACAGATGAGATGCATCATCGTGATACGTAGAGCGACCTCTGCTTGGAGCACTGAGCGTCCGGTCTCGTCACAACCTCGAGCATTTTGACCATTGGACAGCTCTGTCGATTGATTTTGTATATATTCGCATGCAGCTAATGTCCGCTATTAAAGGCGACTCTATGGACGAAGAATCATCGATTACTTCTTACCATCAACTATTTCTGGATAAAGGATATTCTCCTAAAAGAAGAAGAGTCCACCGTGGCTCCTTTGTCGACCCACGAGGGAAGAGTTCGTAGTTGCCATGGGCCGAGCCGACGTGCATCCAGTTAAGCCCAAGCAAATGATCCATGGGCACCTGATCAGCAGCAGACACGTGGACTCATAAGAGAACTGGTGGCGCCTCCCCCACCGCCAGTAGCCGCAGTCCTTCGCCCACGCCGCTCCACGCTGGTCTGCCAGTGTGTCGTCTTCCACTCTCTCTTCTCTTTCCCCTCTGCTTTCGGGGTTCTATGTCGCCACCCGAGCAACGGCCAATTCCCCAGCCTCCTCCTCCGCCTCCTCGCTGTTGCTCCAACGGTCACATAACATCCGCTTCGAGATATCATTCTCTCTCGTACGCATACATATACGTACAGATATATTTCTTTACTTCCAACAAAGGAAACCGCCTGCTTTATTTAACGCTCTCGGCTCTCGGAGCCCCCTTTCCTCTTTCAAAAGCAGCTCAGACCATCGACTTTTTAGCGGATAGCAGCTGTGACAGTCACTAATAACGCTTCTCTTCGTTCCTCTTCGCCCGCATTTAATGGCAAATGCGTCCTTCTTTCTTCTTATTCTCCTTATTTGGTCTCCACGGGGCGATTGTCTGAGGGAGCAGGCGAAGGACGCGGTGGCCACCGGTGGGGAGCTGTGGTGCGTGGCGAAGAACAACGCGGAGGACTCGGCGTTGCAGTCGGCGCTGGACTGGGCTTGCGGGCCCGGCGGGGCCGACTGCCGCCCCATCCAGCAGGGCGGCGCCTGCTACCAGCCCGAGGACATCCAGTCCCACGCCTCCTTCGCCTTCAACGACTACTTCCTCCGCAACGGCCTCGCCGCCTCCGCCTGCGATTTCTCGGGCACCGCCGCCCTCACCTCCCTCAACCCCGGTACGTATGCCGTTAAAAGGAACATGTTTCCATTTCGTCCATCTTCGTTAGACTATTGACCTTAACGTGCGGTCCGTCCTTGTTCTTTCTTGATCTCGACAACAGGTCAGGGTAGCTGCGTCTTTCCTTCAAGGTTGGTACTCTTGTCTGCTAATATCCGCAACATTTTTCTCTGAGAAAGAGGGGAAAAGGAAAGCTGCGATCTTGGTTTTGGGCAATCCTGTTCGAAGACACTGTTTCTGTTTTCCTCTTTAGAATCGAAGCATCATTGTTGTTTCTGATCTTGAAACTTTCGGTGAAAACGATGGTTCCCAACCCCACTTTAATGAAGAAATCGGCTCGGCTGGACACGATGCACTTTTAGTGCCGGAGATAAAAGGCTTCTTCTTTCCATTTTTGCAGCTCATCATCAAGAAATGGGAGCTTCGGTGGATCGGCGACATCCAGCTTAGGGCCAGCAGCGTCCGACATGAGCGGAGTTTCTCCTCTGCGGCTGAGAACATGGAGTCTGGCGTCGACAGTAGTGAGCCTGGCTTTAGCTACCGCCGGTGGCATGGTCCTCTGGTAGTGCAACCTGTGCGAGATTAAATGGAGTCGGGCGACGTGTTGCTGGGGGAACGGTTGCGCAGACGGGGGCAGTGATTTGTATGTCAATGACGCTGTTGAGTGTATAGACTATTTCCAAGCCAATTCATGCGCTCTGCTTTCCTTCCTGATTCGCTTAGCTGTAACGATAGAGAATGTGATGGAGTATGTCGTTTACTTGAGGTATCGATTTGATGATGGCACTGAAGGCTGCACATGAGATCAATCACCCTTGACATCAAGTTGATGAAGGTGTACCATGATATGCCTTTTTAATATACGTTTTCTAATATTATCAGATGATCACGGATCTATAGTGTTCTACAACCCATCCTTGTCACGTCTGCACACAAGTATCAAGAAATGCATGTGCGAGATCTAGAAGCATGGCCTACATCCATGTCCAACATGAATTCCCAAGGGCTTAGACCTGAATCTGATCCCGCAATTGATGTCACAACAAGTGCACTTGCTTTATGAAATTATATATGAAGCGAAAAGTAAACGAGATTTCATGAACAGACTATTCAATGGGTGCCACAATAGTACTCCCTATATATATATATGTTCTTTCCCATCGAGGACTGGCACGGACGCCAAAATGCTGCTTGCAATACGGAGCGTTCAACCGCTGCTCCGTCCTTGTCCCTTCTCCACAGCCCTAATGCCCTTCGTCCGCCCTTGCCACGCTCACAGAGTCGCCTTCAGCAGCGCGACCGTCCTATCTGCCAGCGGCCAGCCGCGACCGTGGACCGGCCTCCAGTCTTGGCGCGAGGCCCCGGCCAACGAGGACCGCGTCTGGGGACCCCACGGCCCGTCGCCTCCCCCGACCCCCCCTCTCGAACCGGATCTCACCACCATGACCGCCGCCTCGCTCGCCGAGTGCGCCGCCTTGGTCCTCTCCTCCTCCGACCCCCTCGCAAAGTCCACCCTCTCCCACCTGGCCTACACACGGTGGTGCCGCCGCGAGATCCTCGTCGGCACAGCCTCGCCCCCCCATCGTCCAGCCCGACCCGATAGGCCTCTCCTGGTATTGAGCAGTCCTAGTATGCGCTACTTATTTTGGATGCGGAATTTCGTCGAACGGATTTCGTGCTCGGATTTGTAGGTACCACCGAAAGAGGTGCCCTCGCACAAAAGTTCGGGATTGCCTCTCAATGCTTATATGCTCCATAATTTGGCTCACGTGGAGCTGAACGCCATAGACCTGGCATGGGACACTGTGGTTCGCTTCTCACATTTGAGGGACGAGCTCGGTGACGAGTTCTTCGCGGACTTTGCTCGCGTGGCCGACGACGAGAGCCGACATTTTGCTTGGTGCTCTCAGAGGCTCAATGAGCTCGGCTTCAGGTATCGACTAACTCATCAACTATCTTGATCAAGATACATTTTGCGAGTGGTACCTGTTCGATTGATCCTAGCGAAGACAACATAATCACACACGGGATCTGAATTTTCCTTTTGCAGTTCCTGATGATTTTCTTTTCCACTGCTTTATCACCTGTATGATTTTATTGTATTCTGATATAATCTGAATTCATGAACAAAATATCATTCCCTTTTAGTTTAACTTCATTGTAAAGGATAAAGAATAGAGTGCATGCAGATTAGGTAGGATGGAGAGTGCAATAGTGCGTTTGAATTCATTCTCTAAACACTATGACCATCTTATTCTTAGTAAATCATCTTACTCGTCTGCAGATGATATATAGATGAGATGAGTTCAACCATAGCATACATGTGAATTTTGGAAATATGTGCTTAACTGCATACTCTACTGCCTGTTGAACGATATGGGTATACTTTTTGTGTGCTTTTTGTACCATACAACTAATTTTTTAATACACTTGAGAAGCAAAAGTACTTGAGGGAACTGACCTCATGAAGCTTTTCATTACTTGTTTTAGAATCATGATGATGTAGATTACCGTCAAAAATGTATTTAAAGTAGAAGTGGAATTTTTTTGGATTGTTATGTATCAAATAAATGTCGAAAGAGTCAAAGATAGCTATTTGAAAACTTAGTCGATGTACAATAATGATGTATCTGAAAACATAGTGCTTCTGTTGTTAAGTAACTACGACAATAAGCAAATTCACTATGCACACAACTTATAGGAAAACCAAGTGAACTATGGCACTAAATTTTGGCAGGAAAACCTGCCTTCTGATTCTTTCAGCCTGTGATTTATTTTCCTTTGATCCATCCTGCAATTTGCTTTTATATCCTGTTGTTTGGTTCATCCAATAACTTCTTTAGTCTTTTTATAAGTTATAAATTGGTAAGATTCAGGAGGGCACCCCACCAAACAATCTTTCTTCATGGACAACCGATATTTTGATGCTTTAATTTTGTAGTTGCCAAATTAATAAGATTTGCGTGCTACTTACTATCAATATCAACAGATATGGGGACATGCCTGCCCACAATTTTTTGTGGAGGGAGTGTGAGAAATCCTCTGAAGATGTTGCTGCTCGCTTGGCAGTAATTCCACTAGTTCAGGTGTTTCCAGGTTTCTGATGTTGGGAATATATCTTTCACTTTGTAGGAGTGTCCAAATTTTGGGTGTGGCAGGCTTTCCCTTTTGCTTTTTATTTAGTCTTCATGAGAACTTGCTTTGATCCATGTTCCTCTAATGACTTGAGAGGCAAATTCATTATTTCATTTAATGACTGATCCGGAGTAAAACACATTTCAGGAAGCTAGAGGTCTAGATGCTGGACCAAGGCTTACCCAGAAGTTGGTCGGTTTCGGAGATCACAGGACATCACACATAGTGGCTAAGATTGCCGAGGAAGAACTGGCACATGTTGCGGTTGGATTGTACTGGTTTCTCCAAGTTTGCAAAAAAATGGGCCGAATTCCTCGTGCTATTTTTAAGGGTAACTAAAAGCTTCTTTGTCAACTGGCACCGACACTAGTGTCTATAATGAACCTACTTTAAGATTATTTTTTTTATTTATAAGTTGTTTTCTGCTGACTTATTTGACACCCTAAAGACTTGTTGGAGGAGTACGGTGTGGAGTTGAAAGGTCCATTCAATTATGCAGCTCGTGATGAAGCTGGCATTCCTCGTGATTGGTTGGATATATCTATCTTTCTTATGTAGAGTTTGAAGTTTACTTTTGTGAGTTGTATTATCGAAACCAATCCTGTTCCAGGTATGATGGTGCATCTGAACAGGAGGCAAAGAGTGAACTTTCAGAGGCAAGACAATTCGACAGAACCTCTTGTACTTGTATGCTTCAATTATGTGCATAAATAACAATGTCGCTCTTGTTTGCAGGAGCATGATAGGCTGGCTTGCATCGTAGCTATGGAGAGAGAGAATTCAGAATCGAACAGCTAATCTCTTCGCCATTAATTGTCTTGTGCAGTGATGAATTAGGGTACAACCAGTCAAGTTGCTGCCCTCCTGATTGATTGGGTGACAGGTTATTATTCCTTCAGCAACTACTGGCCCGTATTTAGTTTTGCTTTGACCCTGAATGACTTAGTTTTTGAGTTCTTCTGACATTGCAAGCACCACAGCATTCAAGCACAAGATAACTGATTGTTGTATTCATGGTAGAAATGTTTGCGAAGCAGAGAAAAAAAGGGAAACACTTTTCTTCTTCTGTCTTGTAGATTTTAAAAAGTGCATGCATTTAGAAATATAAACAGCAAACATTTTCTTTTTTGCAATGATCGTCACTCATAATCAGCATCTCTCTACCATTTTTACACTGCACCGCATATCCTCTTTAATGGTCTCTTTTGTCATTCATCGTCGTTGTTATGCAGTCTCTTCATTTTAATTTTTATGCACGAGAATAGAGAATCAAATCGAATGGTAGATCGCCTGAGCTTTCTCCGTCCAGCTGTATAGAAAAGGACCCCTCCATTATTTTTCTCCTTTCCAATCTGCACAACTCCTCCGGTGACATGAACCTAACAGCAGGACTCAACAATTACTTCTTCGCAGCGAATTTGGGATTCCAACTCCACCTTGGGATCTCGCAAGCCCAAATTTGAGCTCGTCTTTCTAAATAAAGTCATGGTCATGTGCTGCCATGTCTCGATGGTGGTTAGGTACAGCCAACCAAAACACTTAATGCAGTCATCACTTATCCACCGAACACAGCCAAATATGCCGACTCTGCCCAGAACAAGTCAAGAAACCAAAACACATGCCCACTTGTGGAAACTTTTCTTTTGTATGGCTTCTACTTTCTTCCAGAAATAAATTTAAAAGAAAAACGTGAAGATTAATGTGACGTTTATACATATATATTTATTTATTTATTTGTAATTGGGTGATCATGTGATACCAGGTCATAATGGTTCGGTAAAGACAGTCGCCGGCTATCGGACATGACGCCTCGATGGGGAAGAAAATAGAAATCAAGCGAAGTCGGCAATAATATAAGACAGAAGAGGAGCTGTGTGAGCGAGAGAGAGAGAGAGAGCAAAAGACTTGTCAACGCATGCTTTCCCCTCCCTCCTCCTACGACTAGCGATGAAGCTCTCGATCGTCCTTCTCTTGTTCCTCATCTCCTCCTTCCACCTCTCCTTATCCCAGCGCTACAATGCCTTGTTCAACTTCGGCGACTCGCTCTCCGACACCGGCAACGTCGTCATCGCCGGTCTCCCCTACGGCATGACCTACTTTGGCCACCACACCGGCCGCTGCTCCGACGGCCGCCTCGTCATCGACTTTATCGGTACGCATCACTCCCTCCACCCTTTCCGCAATTTGTGGGTACTCGTTCGTTCGACGAGTGTCTCTTCTCAATCGACGATCTGGTTGTCGCAGCCGAGGGGATCGGGCTGCCGCATCTGCTGCCCAACACCGCCACGAACGCCAGCTTCCACCAGGGCGCCAACTTCGCCTTCATCGCGGCCCCGGCTCTACCGTTTGACTTCTTCCACCAGCGAGGCCTCAGCAAGGGCCTCTGGGTCAACGCCTCCGTCCACGAACAGGTGGATCGATTCGAGAAGCTGCTTCCTTCCATCTGCGGCGCGCCGCAAGGTCGCAACCGACGCGATTGCCTCGTCCCCCCAATTCCATCGTCATCAACATCCATAAAGTTGTTTCTCTTGGATGCAGAGTGCAAGGACTTCCTGAGCAAATCCCTTCTCGTCGTCGGCGAATTCGGCGGGAACGATTACAACACCGGAATCTTCGGCGGCCGGTCCATAATAGAAGTGAGCACCTTCGCGCCCCACGTCACCCAGGCCGTCGCCGAGGGCGTCGAAGTAAGTCCAGAAAGACATCTACCTCACCTTGAATTGCAATGGATCTAAAGATTCGTATGGTGAAATTGATGAGCGCCGTCGGTATGGACAGAGATTGATCGGCCTCGGTGCTGTGGATCTCATCGTGCCGTCGGTGCTGCCGGTCGGCTGCTTCCCGCTGTACCTGACGCTCTACAACTCCTCCAATCCGGAAGACTACGGCCCCAAGACCGGGTGCGCGAGGAAGTTCAACGCCCTGTCGTGGTACCACAACACTCTTCTCCGCCGGCAGATTCATAGGCTCCGGCAGAAATTCCCAGCCGTTTCCATCCGGTACGCCGACTACTACGCTCAGGGCTTCGACTTCGCCATCAATCCTCTCAAATATGGTGAGTCTCCTGCTCTTCTCGAGTAAATGCTTCCGTCGTCATATATGATTATGTTCGTCTTCTGACCCAAGAAGTAATCATAGGATCATAATTTTGTGCTGATTGCAAGTGCTTCAGTAGATAGATCGTTTCTCTCGGTTTTGATCCAACCGGTCACTCTGTCTTGCCCCCCACCGCCCCTAAGATGTTCGATCATATGTCTAGCTGAAATAGGAGGTTTTAATTCGCTAGACAAGATGGTGGCTGTCTTGTGAATCATTTTCAATTGGAGGTCAATAATAGGTTAGGTCGGACTCCCCCTCCACCGTTGTGCTACATGACTTCACCGAGCCACGTACCGTGTACGGCTTACCGTGGTCCACATGGGGTTAAAGGATCCTCTACAATTATTGGACGCATCTATGTAACTCACATCAAGATGGAATTGTGGTTGTGTCGGTAGGACGGGTCCGATATGAGACGATTGGAGGTTTTCTATTAGAGACTTAGTTGGAGAGGATCCATAGTTGTGGTCATAAGCCCATAGGCGGCAGGCAGTTCATTGGACGATCCCCATGTTGGCAGAACGTGCACGGAACCTGTGATTTGAACAGGCCCACAACGCTTGCTACCTCTTGTCTGCTCTGGCCGGCAAAACAGCCGACGCATCCATTTGCTGACCATAAATAAGTTACTCGTTTTCATAGTAGGAGTGCCAGGGAAGGTGTTGTTGGATCAGTTGTCGGCCTCCCATTAAGATGGTTTACATCTACGTTATTGATTGCCACATCTCTTTTTTGTATTGCATGGCTGGAAAACACCAAGTGTCATACAATAATGGTCACATGGGGATGCGGCCACCTTTAATTAACCATCGCTGGAGGTGAATTAAATAAGGAATACGGGCACCGCAATTAGTGCGCCGGTATCGTTTGACGGAACATACATAATGTGCTGAAGATTCTTTGCGAGGGAACATGAATGGTCCACAACACAGTATGGTAACAGTGGCAATACCATTCATTAGAATGTGACTCATTACCAAGAAAAGCTACGTGGTGACAGGGGTGGCGCTCGACAATGGGAATCAGATTCGTAGCCACAAAAAGTAGTAGTTTCAAGACAAAAGATAAAGAGCCCCCCCATTTTTCATCCTTTACTAATGTGTGTGATCTTAAATTTCATGTGTTATCTTTGCTTTTTAATTTTTTTAAATATTTTAATCACATATAAAGTAGAGGTTTCTAAATGTGCTAACCGGAGACGGGTTTGGGCCTTCTTTGTGTGGTGTGTGTGATCCGCAGGATTTAAAGATGGAGCCTTGAGAACTTGTTGCGGGGCCCCCGGAATGAGCAAATACAACTTCAACCTGCACGCCAAGTGCGACCAGAATGGGTCGACCGTGTGCCCAGATCCCGCGACTCACGTGAGTTGGGACGGAATCCACATGACGGAAGCCGCCCACAACATCATCGCCCGAGGTTGGCTGCACGGCCCCTACGTCGACCCACCCATTCTGAGATCCAGCGACAGTTAAGACACACCCATCCCCATCCAAGATTGAAGCAGAAGAAGCGGAGGAAGACAGACAGAGACACCCGTGCTTGAAATTTATTTTGTTCCCGTCGAGGTCTATGGAACACTCTGCTCCATTCTTTGGTTATCAAAGATTAGCGAGTTGTATGATGACCACAGATGTTTGTTTAGAAATCACAATTGATGAAGCGAAAAAAAAAAAGAAGAAAAACCCAGTAATGTCGCCTTTTGCTTAATTCGATGTGGTCCATTGTTGTCGTGTTTTCGGCTTTGTCCGGCGGACGTGCGATCGATGGGGTGAAAGGTTCCTCAAGGAGATTCTTCTCATCGAGCGTTGCAGGGAGATGACACGGTCCTGACAACAATTCTTAAAAGGCCCAGTCCATGACGTGATCGAGGCCAAGCCCACAAATTCTAGTAATGGAGATTCACATGTTGGCCACGCTCTGGAAGTGAAGCGGAGGCACAAAAGGACGACAAGTATAGACAGGTGCAGACCGACCGTATTCTCTTTTCTCATTCCATGGTGATTGCTAATTGCACTACTCTGCACGGATGGAATGGAAAGCGCCACGGCAAATGCTTTTCGTTCGTGTTTCTCCATCACACTGAAAGCAGCAATCGAACTACTTTGCATCACCAAACAAATCAACATATTCCGCAAGAAAGAAAAAAAAAAACAAGAGAGAATAAAAGACAAGAAAAACTCCATCACGATGGCTTGATAGGACAGGAAGTATCATCATCGCAGAAGCAACCATTTTGCTGGTGGTCTCCTCCTGCCCTTTAATCGACAAGATCTTCCCTTTCCACGGCCCCCACCTCAGACGATCACACTCTTAGCGTGACTGCGGAAAGCCCAAATCGGCTCCCCACCGAGTGCGTCCGCTCGGTAAGCCACATGTACGTCCATAATTAGTGGCATCAGCTCCCTTCCTCTCGGAGTCATCATTATCCTCATGAACGGCATCTTCTTCATCCTTGTGCTCCAAGTAAAGCCCACCGCCGATTTGACTCCAGATCACGAGGACCTCTCTAGCTTTGCTTTGCCGGGGACCGAGCGGTGGTGCCAACCGCCCGCCGGAACCTTCTCCGTATTCCATGATGCCATCATCGACTTTAAACGGTACTTTACCTAATGGATTCCGCATGCAGCAGCGAATCGAGAACTCTAGGGAAGGCAATGCGGAGAAACAGAGACATGGTTTGGTGCCCGCCGTGATCAACCGCAGCTGTTGCCGATGCTGCCTTGGACCCGAGATTACGTCGATCCGAAGATTCCTGCCCGTGAGAGAAGGGCCAGCTACCGGTGACCACAGATCCACGCACTTCTGCCGCCATCTACAGGCGAAGTTACCACCGCTCGGTGGGACTCTTAAGACGCGCCACCATCTGCCGTTTGAAGACGTGCGTCAACGTTTGCACGACATGTGAGATCAGAAGCCGATGGATGGTACGAGAGGGCACAACACACGATCATGACATAAATCCAACCCAGTTAATATTCGATACACATGCGATACGTTTACTCCCTCTCTCTCTTCCACGCGAGGCACGAACAAAAAGGTCAGGTCGGGCGGGGTCCACTAATTAACTGATGCGGTAACGTCTCCGCTTCCGACACGGCAGCGAAGAAGCGGATGCGGTCGACCGACTCCGTCTCTAATCGGTCGTCCACCGTAACCGTGGGGCCCGGGTCCTGACGCCGTGTTCCCTGTCTCGGGCGAGCCAGCGGAGCTTCTGCATCGCTTCCGCGTACCGGTCTGACTCGAAGCAACGTGCCACATCAAGGGTGATGACAGGCCATTTGAAATGGACTTGATTCCCAGGTGGAAGCAGGCAGAGAGACACCTCCTCCTCCTCCTCTCTGCTGCTTTCGCCTTACAAAGCCTGCCGTTGCAGTCATCTTTGGTCACTTCTTTTCCCTGCTTTCAAATTTATTCTGCTATCGTATTTGGTCGCTGGACCCTACACTCGATCCAAAAGCTCACACAACATACCATCCACACACGATAACGAGGGCGTGGATCACGTTAAGTCGAACGGCATGCATAAGAGACACCAGACCGCCGTACTTTTCCCACTTTCCCCGTTTCTTTTAATCCTCCATTTCAAACTTCCGATCCAAACCAGGAAATCGGACCGTTCCTCGATCGCTGTGTTCCCCCACCCCACACATAAAACCCAACCAAACCCCGAGTCCCGTCGGACGAAAGGCAGCGGTCGACGACTCCGCACTCGCACGCTCTCGACTCTGCTGCTCCCAGCGAACCGCTCAAAGCGATGCGAGATTTGGATTACAAGGCTTTAAGAAAGCGTAGGTAGAGCGCGAGAGAGACTACCGGATTCGTCAAGATGGTCGCGGGCAAGGTGAAGGCCGCCATGGGATTCCAGCGCAGCCCCGCTACCCCCAAGGCGGAGACGCCCCGGCGGTCGTCTTCCTCCCCGGCTTCCCACCACAAGCCGTCGGCGGCGTCGGCCGGGGGACACCAGCCGCCCCCCCCGCCGCCACCCTCTTCGAACGGCAAGGCCTCCGCCTCCTTCGCCCGTTCCTTCGGCGTCTACTTCCCCCGCGCCTCCGCCCAGGTCCAGCCCCGACCGCCCGACGTTGCCGAGCTGCTCCGCCTCGTGGAGGAGCTCCAGGAGAAGGAGTCCCGCCTCCGCACCCAGCTCCTGGAGCAGAAGCTCCTCAAGGAGACCGTCGCCATCGTCCCTTTCCTCGAGAAGGAGATCGCCGCCAGGGGCGAGGAGCTTGCGCGCGCCGCCGAAAAGATCGAGCGCCTCGAGGCGGAGAACCGGGCGCTGCGGGACGAAGTCGAGACCTTGAGCTCCAAGATGCGGAGCGGCGAGGAGGAGAGCCGGCGCAGGGAGAAAAGGATCAGGGATCTGGAGACGGAGTTGGGGGAGCTGAAGAAGGCGTCCACGGAGCAGAGCAATGGCGAATCGCGGCGACTCTGCGCGCGGACGGGGGAGATGGACGACTGCTCGTCGTCGCAGAGGTTCCAAAACCTCATCGATGTGTCGGCGAGATCAAATCTTTCCAAGAGCATGAGAAAAGCCCCCAGATCCACGGACATTGGTCCGGGTCAAGAGGTCCAGAAGCCGGAGAGCAGAGATCCCAGAACGGAAGAAGGCGAAGGAGAAGCGGCGTCTCGACCAGCTCGGGGCGGCGAGAAAGAAGATGCATTGAAACCCCGAGCTCCTAGGGTTCCGAAACCCCCTCCGACGCCGTCCATCTCCTGTAACTCCTCCACCTCATATTCTTCTTCGTCGTCGTCTACAACCTCCGAAACCACGTCCGGCGTCCCCACGAGCAGAGGCACTAGCTTGGCGAGCCTGCCGCCGATCCCGCCGCCTGCCCCTGCGGTCGGATCCCCGGTGACCGGTTGCCCCAGGCCCCCTCCGCCGCCTCCGCCTCCCCTGCCGCCATCGAAGGGGTCGAGATTGGTGGCGGCGAGCGTGAGGCGGGTGCCGGAAGTGGTGGAGTTCTACCACTCCCTGATGCGGCGTGACTCCAAGAGGGAGCCCGGCGGCGTAGCGCCGGACGTGGCCCCTGCGTCTTCTGCGGCGGCCGCCAACGCGCGCGACATGATTGGCGAGATCGAGAACCGCTCCGCTCACCTCCTGGCCGTAAGACCCCCTTTCGTTCTGTCCGACTTCTCCTGTGTGTGTTTTTTTTCTTTCTAATTTACACAATTGCCCCCACGCCCCCCTAAAAAACCGACCGTTGGGCATGCGTTCTGCTGTACTAACATGCGTACGTGGGAGGAATTGGTCGGGTGCTTCTTGACTCGTCGTTGTTGCTGAAGAAACATCGGATCCCACTTCCCAGATACGGTGCTTAATGATAGTTCTACTTCCTTTAATTGTGGTCTTAATTACACCATTAATTAATCGCAGATAAAGACAGACGTGGAGACGCAGGGCGACTTCATTAGGTTCTTAATCAAGGAAGTGGAGCACGCGGCCTTCACCAACGTCGAAGACGTGGTCGCCTTCGTCAAATGGCTGGACGACGAGCTCTCCTTCCTGGTATTCTTTGTTTTTTTATTATTTTAATCTCCTCCGTAGATTGATGCAGTTTCTTGAGATCGATGTCGGGTGATGGGCGCAGGTGGACGAGAGGGCGGTGCTGAAGCACTTCGAGTGGCCGGAGCACAAGGCGGACGCCATGCGGGAGGCGGCCTTCGGCTACTGCGACCTGAAGAAGCTGGTGTCCGAGGCGTCGTCGTTCCGCGACGACCCTCGCCAACCCTGCGCTTCCGCCCTCAAGAAGATGCAGACGCTCTTAGAAAAGTACTCTCTCTCTCTCTCTCTCTCTCTTTCTGCGCGCGTCGCCCTTCTGCTTGTGTAGCAAGTAAACCATCAACTGATGGCATTGGCATGACTCCGTAGACTGGAGCAAGGGGTGTTCAACCTGTCACGCGTGCGCGAGGGCGCGACGAAGCGGTACAGGGGGTTTGGTATTCCTTGGGAATGGATGCTGGAGAGCGGATACGTTAATCAGGTACCTCTGTTCTTTGTCTTTGCGCTTTGGAAGTGTGCTGCAGTAGTAAAGCAGCATGGTGTTACCACTTTTGATAAAGAAAGGAGTAGAGAAGGGGAAGGGGACGGCTGATGCCTGCTAGATGGCAAAAGACAAACTTAGATCTTAGGGATTCTCGATGCACGCGAGCACGTGAATCGGGGGTTGACACACACTGCACAATCTTGTTTCTTCGACTAAGAAGAATTATAGTGGGTGTGTGTGTGTGTGTGTGTTCTTTCCCCATTGCTGCGGGAATCATTGATGGGACCATTAAAAGGATGCCATCGAAAAGAGGACAGATAGGGACAGTGTTTAAGGGCCCGCAAGTTGAGATGACACGGTGAGCAAAGTCGGGACTCGTGTGCTGACTTATTCTTCAAGTAAATCAAGCTTGTGAATACTACTAACCTGCTTTCCAGCGAGGCAGTTGTACTGATTTCTCGAATCATCCTTACTATGGTGTCGTGAAGTCGCGGCTTGGTATCTTTCTCAGTTTGATGTTTTAGTTTCCTTTCACTTGGCTCGAGGCTGAGGAGGAGGATGGTTTCTTCTTATGCCATCTTTACCATCAAGGTGGCTGGTGTTGTTAATCAATCAATTTATGATATGTGGTAGACTATTAGATAAAGCTCATCTTTTCCCTTCATCAATTTATGATGGTGGAGAAAAGCATTCAGATGCACCACCAAAGGGCAGAGTGTGCATGTTCGACAGATCCCACACCTGACCTGACCAACCAATGAATCAAGATTTCTTGACCCTGACTCGGTCAAATCATGTTGTGTGTGTGTGTGTGTGTGTGAGAGAGAGAGAGAGAGAGAGGTTGCTATTATTATATGTTTTATCTTTACCCTGTGTGATCTTGATGGCCTCCTCGGTAAATGTAGTCGCAGCTGTTCTTTTGTAGCTCTTTTGCTGAGATAGTCCTGTGGTTTTCCTCCTGAAGCCAGCTATAATTTAATCCAACTCTATTAACTGCAGATCAAGTTGGCATCAGTGAAGTTGGCAATGAAGTACATGAAAAGAGTTTCCTCAGAACTGGAGAACATAGCAGGCAGCCCTGAAGAGGAGGAGCTCATGCTTCAGGGTGTCCGATTTGCCTTCAGAGTGCACCAGGTACATACCTACCAACCTCTTGCTTTCATCAAACAAAAATCCCTCTTCGTTTCATGCTGCATGCATGCTCGCCTAAAATGTAAACAAACAGAGGGGCTTATCATCAATTTTTCTTCTTCCATCATCGCCAGTTTGCAGGAGGTTTCGATGTAGAAACCATGCGAGCATTCCAGGAACTGAAGGACAAAGCTCACAGTCTCCGGTTACAGAGCCCACACCACCACCACCACAAGCTCTATTGCAGGTCTACATCTCGCTAGGCAAGCATCATCAACTATTACTACTCATGTAAAGATGGCGCGACGCCATTTGATCCACATACAACTCCACCATTCTATTTTTATCGCTGGACACAGCACACAAGTGAAAGGCCTAATTATTTGGAACTGCTGTCTAATGCATTCATTCACCTCTCTTCTCTTCTGCCTCTAATCCGATGATCATATCAGCTGTAGACATGGCAATTTCGGTGACTGCCACGCCAATGGTTTCCAGTAGCTCACCGGCAGCAGCAGTGGAATCAATCGCCTCTTGCATTGTGACCTCTATTACCGCCGCAGGGATCTTCGCTGGCTTGGTTTCTTCTCCTCCTCCTCCTCCTTCCCCTGCCTTTACTTTCTGTGACAAGAATTAAGTTGTTGTTGGGAAGCTATGAACAGGAGATTTTTAGAGAAAGGTTTTTGACACAGACAGTGTGCTCTTTGTGATCAAATTAGGTCCGTATAAGAGTTTCCTAACAAGATATAACCTGTGGTTCGGTAGCTTTCTCTTCCTTGTAGTGTTTAGCTTCATCTCCGGTCTCCATGGCTTCTCCTCCTCCTGCTTCCTGTTTTGCTCCCTCCATGATTCTCTTGGCCTCTTCGGTCTTCTCTCCTCGTTTTTCCTGCACCGGTCATGCAATCATTTCGAATATTTCGGATTCCAAGTGACAAACATATGACGAACTAATCGTATACCTTTGCTTCGGATGCTTTCTCGGCAGTGTACTCTCTAGTCTTCTCCTGTTCATCCCCTCCCTTGAACGCTGCGTACTCCAGGGCTCTCTTGGCTGCCTCTATTGCCTCCTCTGCCTTCGCTCTTGCTTTCCTCATGGCTTCTTCGCCCGTGCCTTTCGCTGCTTCCCTAGCTTCCCGAGCTTTCTCCACGGCTTTCCGAGCCATAGCCCTAGCGGCCTCCATTGCCTCCTCTGCCTTGTTACTTGTGTATCCCATGGCTCTTCCGCCTGTGTCCTTTGCTGCTTCCTTGGCCTCTTCCGCCTTCTCCATAGCTCCCTGACCCATGGCCTTCGCGGTCTCCTTTACCTCCTCTGTGGTTCTCTGCGTTGTCTCAGCAGCTGTATCCTTGGCTCCCACGGCCTTCTCGCGCGCGTACTCTGCTGCACTCAGCGTCGCATCCTTTGTCTTTGCAGCTGCTAGCTGCGCGAACTCAGCAGCAGTCTGCCCGGTGCTTATCGTCACATCCTTTGCCTTCTCCACTGCCTGCTTTGCGTAATCTATGGCTGTCTCGCCCGCACCGGCCGTGACATCCTTCGTCTTCATGGCTGCCTGCTTCACGTAATCCGCTGCGGTCTGGCCCGTGTACACTGTCACATCCTTCGTCTTCGCGGCCGTTTGCTTTGCATACTCCATTGCGGTCTCACCAGTGCCAACAGTCACGTCCTTGGCCTTCACCGCCGCCTGTTTTGCATAATCTGCCGCAGTCTCACCTGCGCTCACGGCGACATCCTTCGACTTCGCCGCCGCCTGGGCCGCGGTATCCTTTGCGACTTCGAGCCCCTGTCGGCCCTTTTCGATGGTGACATCCTTTGCTGCGGCAGCCTTCTGCGCAGCAACTTCAGCTGCACCGCGGGCTTTCTCGCCCGCATAATCCTTCGCCTCGGTGCCTTTGGCGGCGGCATAAGCCCCCGCGGCGCCGAGGCCGTGGACGACGGTTTCTTTGGCGTGGTGGACCGTCGCCAAGCCGGCATGCTTGGCTTTCTCGTACCGCTCCTCCGCGGCCCTGATGGACTCGATGGAGTTCTGCTGAGCGGTGGCGCGGTGGTGGCCGATCTCCTCCAGCGACATGGCCTCCCTCTTGGCTCGTTCCTCTTCTCTGGAAACCTCCTCCTCCCTGTTGACTTGTTGCCCTGAAGCCATTATGCGTGCAACGATCTCTTCTCTTCGCCAAAGAATGAATTTTGCGAAGGAAAGATGGTGAGGAGGCTTTAAAAGGGCAGCGAGGGCGGCAGTTGGTGTCGTGGCAGAAGGTAAGACGGGACACCTGGTGTGACACGTCGTGGGTGAGGAGCAGAGGAAAGGGCACGTAGCGTGGAGGAAGTGGGCGGGCATAAGAAGGATGATGACGGTCTCGTAGAGGTGTGGCCGCAGCCCGCCACGTGTACGACGTGGGCTGAGGTGGAACTTACACGTACGAGGATGTTTGTCTTCACCTGCATAATTGAGATATATGCAAAGAGAAAAACACACTTCAGCTTACGGGGACAACACATTCCGCCACCATTTTGTCGATGCCTTCTCCGTTGAAACCATATGTGAACGACGCGCAAGCGGAAAAGGGAAGAGGTGACGCGTGGCCTTTTTCTTTTGATTTTTGTTTTTTTTTTTCTTCTGTAGCTAATGGATAAATCTCAAAAAAAAAAAAAAACATATGCACGTGAGGTTTTATGTCATCTCCAAAATAATTTAAAAAAATTCAACTGTTTACAGATTTAGTTTTTTTAAAAGAGAAAATCGACGTGTAAGAAAATTTTATTTAAAAATAACAAAAAAAGGAACTTTAGATATTAAAAAAAAGCATCCCTCAAATGTATGATTTCCTCAAATTTAAGATCGTTAATAAACTGAGATAATATTCAAAAAGAGAAAAAACAGGCAGTGGGTGTCGAAATGTTTCGGATGTCCTGGGCGTTTAGGCATTCTACTTGAAACAATATAGCATCCTACACTGACAGATGAAAATATAGTCTCATTCTCAAATTTTGACACTATAAATATTGAATGACTATAAACAATTATTTCAAATCAAATTGTACAAAAGAAGTAAAAAAAAACTCCATACGCTGATCTGAGGAGTGACTTCGTTTTGCCACACAAGTCCTGCTCCCATTTAAGGCGATGGTCCTTTGTCGTTTTAGATAACTAAGCCTCATCGTATCATGTCATCCATTCGAAGTTGTTGAACCACCCGAACAAATCTCCCTTTTGTGGTGCTCTAACATCTTCACTTCTGGATTGCAGAGACCTGAAATGATGGTAGGCTTCGTTTTAGTGGCTTTTTCACTCTTTTCTTTTTCTTTTGAACAAATTATCTACTGGTTCAATAAAAGGAAATACCACGTAGAGGAATCACATTTAATTCTAGAAAATTTTCATTAACAACATAAAACTTTTCCTTTAGCCGACCTTCATTTCACCATTCGGGTTACCCATAAAAGAAACCTTTGTCGATGATATTCTTATCCATCTCCCAACCCAACTTCATGGCTCTTTGATCAAACAGTATTTTTTCCAAAGAAATTAGACTGGGCATCGAATTTACATAAAAGTTTAAGCCATTTCTGTTGAACTCATATCTTCTAAAGCAGCCTAAGATGATGAAGTCAGTGCACGGCAAGATCATATGACCATGCAACTGCTTGTGAGGGACGATTATTCCGGCATCGATGTTTCCTGGTCACTAGGCATATAACCCCACTAACCATAGAAACATCATCCCTGTGTGGAAATTTCTCTGATTTGTTGAAAAGGTATAATTTCATCGATGTAAAGGAAGGAAGATAATCAAAACACTTTTTTATTAAAACAAACCTGAGCAATTTGGAATATCCCAAACGGCAATCGATGATGACGTGCAGTCAGGCTCACAAAGAGAATGGACGTTCTCGTGGTTGACATTCATTCCAAGCATCCAAGCTCCTACTGTCACATCCTCGTTGCTGAACATTCGGATACTGCAAATGTACAAAGTCATACTTGCATCTCATGGTTCCAGTATATCAACTTGTTAATGAAGTTGTAAGACCAGCAATTCAACACAAAATTAAGTAGAGCTATTGCGTATAGCAACAACTACAGCAAACAGTAAGAACAAATGGAAAAGAGACATCACTCTTAGTAGTTTGGACAGCACACCTAACAACAGTAGGATTACAGTAAGCATCCAAAAACTTTTAACTTGCCTGTTGTTTCTCAGTGCAACCAAGCTCGAGACCACATCTGCTGAAAGTGCATATATAGGACCATAAGCATGAAGGAAATATTCTTCTCCGAGCAAGTATGCTAGTGGCTCATACCTACAGAATTCCCAAATAAGTATTAGCCAGACAATTACTGTGTCTGTGGAGATATTAGATTTGACCATACGAGAGTTGTATGGGAGATATGTATTACAGGAGCGCAAAGCTGAAACAAACAGCAACAAGAAAACGTTCAAAGTTGTGCCAGAAAACCAAAGTAAGAATCTTACAGGGCCAATCATTCATACAGGGCATGGCCATGGAGAGAAGAAAAAAACTAATTCTAACAGTGAAAAGAATTGCTTAACACAAATGATAAGGAAGTTCCAAGGAAACAGACAGGCAAGTACATGGTCTGCAGACCAAAGTATACATATTTTCCTGAAACTCACTAAAAAGTTCAACATGCATATACAAATAATAAAGCAAAATGATGTGCAAAAACCTTTTTACGAACAAAGTAGTTGTCACATACGCCACCAAAATGAAGATTCAACAGTCTCTAAATTTCTTTGACGAATGTTCAACTCAAGACCCACTTTTGCAACTAATTTCTTAGTCATACTCTTCAACCAAGTCTTAGCATGAAGCATAAATCTAAATAGATATAGACACAGATGCTACAATTGCAGAAAGAAGGCAATAATTTGTCCTTGAGACTTCCAGATTGCCTCACTGTTAGCCTTTTACTAAAACGAGCTCTTTGCAAACAGCTTGGGTTCAGTACAGTAAGGGCTTGAATTAAACACAACCATTTCCCCTATCTTATGAGCTCTTGATGTATATGACTCTTGGCTGTAGATAAGTCAAGGTTGAACAAGCAAAGCTTGCGGATGTAAACACCTATAGCAAACTAGGCTTTTAAAAGAAAAACTGTCCAAACTGTACTGAGCTTAGCAAGAGCAGCGTCAAAGTTACAGTAATGGAACATCTTACCAGATAGCATTCTGAAATGTATATAATATGCATTTTCTCTTTGCTTGTATGTCAAAAAGGCAGTACAATTTTTTCATGTAGGAACTTTCTGGTACAAATTTCCCCCCTTTTTTTTTCTTTTCCTATCTATGAACCACGATATTAGGTTTTCTAAAATTTGTTGCATGTTTCCATATTTATGCTATCCTATATTCTCATCATATAGGGTATTTCTTTGGTCCAGAAACATGAACAGACTAAACAATCAAAGCACCACATAATCATGAAGTTTACAGATGATACTAACCATTTGAGTTTTGGGTCAGTAAATACAGGTCCCTTCTTCATGCATCCAAGATAAGTTTGAGGATTCTGCCGTTCTTTAGCCAAAAGCAGCGAGAGACGGTCTGAAACAATATAATGAAACCGTCAACATGCAAAATTCTGGAGAAACAATTTGACAGGATGCCAAAGATACATAACCTGGCCTCAAATAGATGTCATCATCAGCTTTAACATAGAAATCGGAATCATACAATGCAAAGGCTGCTTTGAAGAATGCTAACCTACAACAAAGATTAGACGAAGATTTGGACAAACCAAATACCAACTTGCCTATAGGTATTGGAATATACGGTGCATTTCATACGTCTTATGTGGGAGATTGCTGTACTCTTCCTCGATATCTAGAAGCATGAAATCGTCGTATTCCTTCACCTCCAGTTGAAGCGCCGCCATTTTCGATTTATCCTTAGTCTTCCCGACAACAAATCTGAAAGCCAAACCGGTCGCTTCTTCCAAGCTGCAAAACCATCGATTAAGAAATAGGGCAAGAACGCAACACGAGTACGCCTCGATTACAGAACATACGTCATCAGCAATCACAAGATTCGATCCGTAAAACAGCAGAAAACAATTCGAAGACCCAACCAGAATCAGATCTCGACAACATGGGGTAAAATTGTTCAGGGCACAAATACAACAACGGTGAAAAGCGAACGAGTCGAGATGAAGACTAACCGAAGGAGTCCTTGGCGATGGGAGGGCAACCACGTCCGCCTGATGGATCTCCGCCGGCCGACGGATCCGAACCCCGTCTGGATCCCGACGAAGGCCATCACCTTGCGCCGTTCCGCCGTCCCGCCGCCACCGGTGCCGCCGCCGTGGTCCCACACCACGGAGACCGACCTGGGCTCCATATCGAGGCACCTTCGGACGGGCAGCGAGACGGAGATGACGCCGAAGAGGATTCCGGTGATGCCAAAGACGAGGCAAACGAGGGAGAAAGCGGAGGTGGAGGCGAGGTGCCGAAAGCGGGAGAGCGGGCTAGTGTGGAAGACCCTGGGCGACTTCGGCATCGGTTGCTTCGACTCATAACCCTACCACGACTTGGTTCTTTCTTGAGCAAGAGAAAGAGATCTCTACGAGGGAAACAGAAATCCTTTTAGTTCATGGCGCCGTGACGTCGTCCCAACGAAATGAAACCTCCCCATCCCCAACGAAATGAAACTGTCGACGGTTTCAGGTGGTATTCCGCTGGGAAGAAAGATTAGTGGGACAAAAAGAATAATCATTTACCCAAAAAGAAATGTTCAATTTAGAGTCTTCTTCTTATCATTCACAATCCTCTTATTATTTATATATTTTTAAAAAAAATTAAAAAAATAAATATTTTACTATTCATAATTACTTGAACATTAAATGCATGTGTATTTTATTATGTATAATATTGAGAATTTTAGTTAAGAAACGCTCTCATTAGTAACTGTTTATTAATTTAATTAAAATACTTAAACTGAAATTGATAATAATATATTAATAATATTGTGAGTCATAAGTTTTTGATAATAATATATCGATGATAGTACTTAAGATCGTGATAAATCTTTGATATCAAATGTTATGACTCGAATCTAATGGATTAATTAATCTATCAATTTCGTTTGATTTAAATAATTAATTAAAAATATTTAAATTAAAATTAATAATGATATTCATTAGATCTATATAAATCAATTTTAATCCTGTATTAAAATTAATACTAAGATAACAGAAACACTTTGTGTAGCCCTGAGATCACTGCATAAGCTTTAGCTTTCAACGGATTCATGTTTTAGGGGATCATCGAAGTTGTTCTTCCATATTGTTACGAGCATATCCAACGTTCTACATAGATAACTGTAGCCGTGCAAAGAAAGCGAATGAGTCATTTAGATCGATACTTGTTGTTTCTAATCCGTCTCGGAGCTCCCTGCTCTCCCTCGCTACTTCGTCTATCCCAAAGCAGGAAGGTTGTCTGGAAGCATGTAGCTGTAAGTTCTGTCCACGTAGCTGTGAGCAAGTCGAGAAGGTGGATGACAGCCGAGTGAGCCATTGCAACACTATATCTCAAGCCACGCCATCCCTTTTCTGGCTGCACTTCCAAGCGTAGGCCACGGCCACAGAGGACAAAATCTTATAGCTAAAGTCCACACTCATAACATGGAGAAACAGGATTGAAGAACGAAGAGCGACAAGGAATTTAGATCACCTGTCGTTCTTGTCTATATGTGATCAGGCAAATGAGAGAGAGAGAGTACTGAGCACAGTGACATTGGTGGATGGTCAATCCAGGAGAAACAAATAGAATTGGATATGAGAAATGAACAGAAAAGGTCTCTCCTCCATATCGAATTCCATGGGTGGGATATTGTTGCTTGCAGTAGTATCCTTGAATTCTATACCAATCTCAATTCTCTCTAATAAAGCCCCCTCGGAACACAACACAGTGCCATTCATCTGTATCCGTACAAGTGCAGTGAACAGTAAATTTGGATTCATCGGTTTTCCTGTAGTGCTTCTTTCACCCCCTCGGCAGAGCATTTGATATTTCTACAATGATTTCCAATCGGAACTCATGCCCCGAGTCTGAAGTCATGTCTCATTTAATCATTCCAGATGAACACAGGAAAATGCTTCTTGCAGCAGCAGCAGAGGAACTGATAGCCCATCTCCATCATTCAAAGCAACAAGCTGGGATTCTGGAACAACGAGCCAAAGGTATAACGCCGCTGACCGGTCAAAGATGTCGATGGCCATAAACAGCTTCCATCCTTCTGCTGGGCTGCAAGGAATTCAAAGCTCCACCCTGGTGATCCAAGTGGTAGGTACACAATGATTTAAATGCCTGGTGGCACTACCTGGTTCAGTCTCCAGGCCACAAGGTAGAGCCACTTTGTTGTCCTACATTGGAGCCCGAGCTAAAGCTACAACAACACCTGGAAAGACGGTGCCGTGTTTGGCCCACTCAGCTATGACACACACACACACACAGGTTCTACACGAACAAGCAAAAGCTTTTCCAGCTAAGCCATAAAGAGACACCACTTATTCCAAGCAAGCTAAATAGTTGCAGCTGCTCTCGGAGCGTGGCAACACCCATGGTTTTCTTCTTTTCCGGGTGACAACGACCACACCAGTAGAACATCAGCATGGCCATGCTTCTTCCATTATAGCGAGTTCTATACATCGCTCATCCCGTTGTTGTCTGTATTTTCCTTTAGTCGGTGAGGAGAGAGAAACCATCATGCATGCTTCTGTGAAGGACAACATCGAATATGGAACTATCACTGCAGGAGCCTTTTCACTGTTCGAAACGATTCATGGATATCAAAGCGACGCTAGTTTTCTTAACCTACACTGCATTGCATCTTTGCAAAGCTTATTCTCCATGGATCTGTTGTTTATGCATCCTCGTTATCCAATCAAGCAGACTCATTCGCTTGAGCACGAGAAAATAACAAAGAAAATAAAAAGGAGCCAATATCCGCAATCCAGGGTTTGCTTATTACGGTGACGAGGATAGCAGAAGGCAGCGGAGAGCAGATCGATGACGCAGTACTTCACAGTGGGGGCAGGTGGTGAAAGGAATATGATCATTTCGAGGGCTCCCAGTTGTTTGCACACCCAATATGGGGACCTTATGCTCGTGACGAAGACGCCTAAAAGAGGAAGCCCACTTTGCACCGAGTACAACCTCAGCATCAGGTGACATCATGAGAAGAACAAAAAATATTGCAAAAGAATCAGAAAAAGCTGTGCCGTAAAATAATCGAAGGCCGCTGGCTGCATTAAACAATGGCAGATGAAAGCATCCGAGGACCGTGAATTCATTTGTTTACGCGTTCGTTCACCCCTCTTGTTGTTCCTAGTTTAATCACCCTTCCACTCGCTCTCATCGGAAAGCTTCGGAGCCAATGGAAGGCGCTGCCTCGTTGCACGCACAGCCACACTTTTGACCTAGCAAACGGGGCAAGTAGTAGTCCCGGACGCAATGTGTTGCGTGCATGGGCCATGTCACGTAAATGGTTATAGTCTTAATCCACCACCTAAACATTATTTCCCATCATCACCACCACCACCACCACCACCGGATGGAAGTGTCCAGCTCCATGATGATGGAATCTTTTACCGAGCAAGATCGAGATCAACAACTAGCCAACACCAACGAGAAGAACGAGGAGAGGATGCACGCATGCTCGTGGGACATAATTCCAAGCTAAATTATTATTGCAGATACATGCAAGAAATGGCCAGCTGGATCGTCTCGATACCGAGTGAGACAGTCGTCTGAGCGATTGGGCTCATTGATTATATCAACAAAATTAAATAAGAAAAATCGATTTTTTAGGAGGAAAAAAAGGATTAATTTGTAATGTGGAAAAAGGCTTTACTGCCACAGAACATGTTTGGACCGGTGTCCGATGACTCGCGGTGTGATGACCGGGTGGCGCAGTCGCTGCTTAGCTGGCGACCATCTGGTTCCTCCAGTGGGCCAGCTGGCAAAGCACCAATCACATGGCCAGCTGCCCCTGTCGGGAGGCAGCACACATTGACGCGAATACCCTTCACCTTCTCCGGAATCCCCCACGCCGCATCGCGTTGTCTCTCCCCGGGGGTGGGGGGCCGAGGGGCGAGGGTACCGTAGGGATTCGACAAAGAGACGGGGGCAGGCCACGTGATTCTCCACTCTAAACAGGGGCGTTCTCGGTATTCCGAGGTCTCTGGATCTGCAAGCCTTTCCTTTCCTTTCCAGCTTGCATGCGAGATGACACAGTGAAAGTACTGTTGTCTCCAACGAGATAATTTTATTACAGAAATCAAATCACAAAACAAAACAAAAAACATTTACAGTACAAAATCGACAATATATATATATATGTATTAAAAATAAGGAAGTGTGTTTATGCATCAATAAATGGTGTGGAATATGGACATGTGCCGAGGATATTCCATTGCCTCATCCATTTCGTCTTTAATCTTCAGAGAAACATACAAGGAAACAGATAAAAGAACGATAACTTTGGTTTTTAGCCTCCATTTAATTGCGATGAAGGTAGATAGACGTCGACTTACCTTAAACGTGCGCTTCTTCTTCTTCCACGAGAGAGAGAGAGAGAGAGAGAGCACAGGGTGTCTCGTGAAGCAGCAGCAGGATGGTAATGAGATGGAGATGGCAGCGTAGAGAAAGAGAAGAACGCTGAGTGGGGAAGAGGAGAAAGACAACAAAAGAAAACAAAAAGAAAAAAAAAAGAGAGAGAGAGAGAGAAGTCTACTGATTTGTTCTCTCCTCCTCGCCTCGCTTTTATTCTTCTATTCTACGTCTCCAAATCTACCCTCATTCATTCCTTGCTTCCTCCTTTCCCATCACGGGATCCCCATCTCCCCATTTCAGTCCTTTCTCTCTACACCCACCCCAAAAAAATAAAAAAAAATAAAAAAAATCCCACCTTTCCCTGCTTCTTCTCATGGCTACCTCTCCCTCACCTCCCAAGATCCAATCTTTCTCGCTCCCTGTCCCCCTCCGCGCACTCCACTCCTTCCTCTAGTGTTCCCAAGGTTGCAGCTTTCGGACGAGATCTGCAGCCCAAATGTCGCATCTTGTCGACGCCTCCGGCGCCAGAACCCACAAGTCTAGCAGCGAACCGGCGCTGGACTCCGTTTCGGATCGTCTCCGCACTGCTTTAAGCTTCGAGGCCAACAAGCCCGACTCCAAGGACTTCCCCGACCTCAGCTCTCCTGTTTCGCCCCTCCCGACTCGCCCCGCCGCCACCAGCAGCAGCTCCGGCTCCTCCGGTTCCGTCTCCGGTAAGCCCGCCTCTCATGCCGACTCCAAAAGATCCGATCTTGGCCTCTCCGGGAGGCGCTCTCACTCCGGCGAGCTCCTTCTGGCCCCCAATGAGCCCATCCCCGGTGCCATGGAAACCAGGAGCTCCAAACCCGGGCACCGTCGTTCCGGCTCCGTTCCACTTATCTACACCGGTGGCAGCTTCTCGTCCGGCTCCACCTCCGGTTCCGGTTCCGGTAGCAGCTCCGCGAGCTCTCCGGTGACCAATGTGCTCCCGTCAGGGAACATATGTCCGTCGGGAAAGATTGTCAAGACGGGCATGATGAGCCGGAGTGCAGTGAGGGCCGACGTGCTTGGATCTGGAACTGGGAATTACGGCCACGGGAATATAGTGAGGGGCGGGACTAACGGTGCTGGTGGAGGAAAGCCACCTGAGGTGGTGGCGAGCAATGGAGTGGATTCTGCACTGAGAAGGGCGATGGTCAGTATGGATCCGGAGGAGGTGAAGAGGGTAGGGAATGAACAATATCGGAAAGGGCAGTTTGCAGAGGCTTTGAAACTTTACGACAGGGCGATCGCGTTGTGCCCCGACAGCGCCGTCTGCCGCAGCAACCGGGCGGCGGCACTTACAGGTCTTCGGAGATTAGGGGAGGCGGTGAAGGAGTGCGAAGAGGCCTTGCTTCTGGATCCGGCATTTGGGCGTGCTCACCAGAGGCTGGCATCCTTGCTTTTAAGGTCAGTTATGGTGCCATTATCTACAAAACTTATAACTGCGAATTGGACATCATACCTATTCTGTTCTTTCTGATCGGTCAAGCTTACGTTAAATGCTTTTAGTTTGTGTGAATCTCGATTTTGTTGGTAACAGATCGTTCTTTGGTGCAGTGAATGCTGGCCATCAACCCATATTCTCGTCCACCAGTATTGTTGGATTATTAGTAGTTCATTTAGCTTTGGTCAGCTACATCTGTCATTTAATATGATTTATAGATTGTTCCGGACATTTTTCTTGGTAGCTATCAGTAACACAATTATGAACTTCCCTTGATCTCGTGTCCAATTAATGGCTTTTGTTCAGATTGAAGAGCTTCCAGTTTTGCTCTGCTCAATGCTTTTTCGTATTTAGTCGACTATTTATTTTTGTTGCTCCTTTTGAGTCCCAATAGAGATCCCTATTTTTTTTATTCATCTTAATGAATTCTTGATGATCGTGAGATCCGCAGCTTCCACTTCAAGTTAACCTGTAACAACTTTTTAGCACTTTTAATCGAGCTAGGCTTCCGAAAGAAGTATCATTTCCGTGTTTGCTACATCTGATTTTGAATTACAGATTAGGACAGGTCGAGAATGCTCGGAGGCATCTCGTCTCAGCTGGTCCACATCCGGATCCTGTTGAGTTGCAGAAGCTGCAAGCTGTGGAGAGGCATTTGAACAGATGTGCGGATGCCCGAAAGTTTGGAGATTGGAAAACTGCGTTAAAGGAGACCGATGCTGCCATTGCCGAAGGAGCAGACTCTTCACTATTGGTAAATTCCCAACGTGTGCGTAAATTTTTTAGCGCAGATGGCTCACTAAAGCTGGCTTGTAGCCTCACAAAGTAAGAATTTGCAGCTCATGGCTTCAAAAGCAGAAGCACATCTCCGGCTCCATCAGCTAGAGGAAGCTGATTTAGCTATATCTGCTGCATCCAAACTCGAGAGCTTATCCTCATCATCCTCAAACTCAAAGTTCTTTGGTATGTTGTCCAATTCGTACATGTATGTTGTCCGTGCTCAAGTTGAAATGGTCCGTGGAAGGTGAGCTCAAAATTTTACACTAGCTAGAGATGCAATTTCAAAGTTCTGGATCAATGAGAATGGCCAGCGAACTATTTTCAGGTTTGAAAACGCAGTTGCTGCAGCTGAGAAAGCCAGGCAGGTGGATCCTGGAAATGTAGAGGTGTCCATGATGCTGAACAATGTTAGATCAGTATCCCGATCACGAGTGTTAGGCAATGAACTTTTCAATTCTGGAAAATTTGTGGAAGCAAGCTTAGCTTATGGGGAAGGGCTTAAGTATGACCCCTCAAACCCTGTCCTGTACTGCAATAGAGCTGCTTGCAGATCCAAGCTTGGACAATGGGAGAAGACTATCGAGGACTGCAATCAAGCCCTCGTGATTCAACCCGACTACGCCAAGGCTCTTCTTAGACGTGCTGCCTCATATACCAAGGTGTATATACTTCTCTTTCGTTTTGTTGAACACGGATTCTATATGATTATGCTTACAATGGAAGAAGTTTGTGTTGTTCTCCGTGACGATCAGCTTGAGCGATGGACGGAAGCTGTGAGAGACTATGAGGTTCTCAGGAAGGAACTTCCAGGTGATACGGAGGTGGCTGAGGCCCTCTTTCATGCGCGGGTGGCACTGAAAACCTCTCGAGGTGAGGAGGTCTCCAATCTGAAGTTTGGTGGGGAGGTCGAGGAGATCAAAGGGTTTGAACAATTCCAAGCAGCCATAACTTTACCCGGTGAGATTTTACTTGTGTTTTAATTTCTATATATATCTACCATTTATCTCGTCCTTCGTTGCTCGAAAAATTTTTCTTGCCCACCTTGGCCTTACCATAAGAATTTTTAATTGCATTCAAGTGATTAGTCTTGATGTCCTGAAAAGGACCATTACTGTCAGCCAAGCAACATGTGAATTGGAGCAATGTCTGCTTCAACGTCGACAAGTGATGTTTGTCTGCACTTTAGCAGGAGCGTTTTCCATAATAAAGCCCAACTTGATGATCTATCCTTTTCATTTTCACTTCTGTTAACCTAATTAAAATATTATTTCCATATTTCACAGCTTAGTTCTACTCTAGTTGAGGTTAAACTAAAGCACTTACGTTCAACATTCGAAAAGTTAATTCCTGCACTCTTTTGATTCTATAAACTATGATGGCAACAGAGCTGGTCCTTGTTTGGTAGAGTGAGCTACAGATGTCCAGTTATATTATTTTATGATCTTGTTCATCTGTGCTTGGATTTATACTCGTTTCTTCACTCTAAGAATAATAAAACTGAACATGTTCAGGAGTTTCTGTTGTCCATTTCATGGTGGCATTCAACCACAATTGCAATCAGATCACCCCGTTTGTGAATGCACTCTGTACGAGGTATCCATCAGTGAACTTTCTGAAGGTAACTTTGTATCTTTTTGACCTTGCACTCTAGAGGGTAACCTCACTTTTGTTTGTGCACATACACTTCATCTCACTGATCTCATCTCGTATTTCGACTTAGGTCGATGTGAATGCAATCCCTGCAGTCGGCGAAGCTGAGAATGTGAGGATGGTACCGACCTTTAAGATCTACAAGAACGGGGCAAAAGTAAAGGAGTTGATTTGCCCCAATCAGCAAGCATTGGAATACTCTTTAAGACACTACGGTTTATAGTCGAAGAATCAAATGTTTCTTCGACGCAGAACTTTTATCTCCAAATTCCTGAGAAATCTCACATGCAAGCACCAATCATGTTGGAGGAATATGACACCGAGAAGCAAGCATGACTAGACTGCGAGGGAAAGTCCAATCTTTTGTATCTTTTTCTTTGTCTATACTACTTGTTTGTTCTCCATCTACCATTAACATTCTTTCCAAGGTCTCATTTAGACCATTTCCATCCACAGGCTTGGTTGCATTTCACTCAACACTATTATTTTCCTTCTTTTGAAGCTCGAGCATGGCCGATAGTGAAGATTATATGTATATATCATACACCAAGCAATGAAAGCCATCAGGGAAAGCAGATGCTTAATTGGTGATCGTACTACTGGATGAGAGAAAGGAAGGATCTCATTCATGCTGGCGACGATGCTTGTTCTCGCCATTTTATTTGTATAAGCACTCGGAAAATATTTTTAAATATTTTTTTCTCATCATATATCCATTACATTTGACTGCTCAAGTTTGTGGCACACATACTATGAACTGTGGTGGGGATTCGGCTATATCATGAGGTGGGGAAAGATGGTTGGATCATTGAGCATGAACGCACAAGTGGCTCGAAGAGAATCATGCAGGAGAAGTGATCTTTATCGAGTGCGTGGGCTGGTCATCAGGCCACGGCACTTTCTGTCTTCTTTCCCTCTTCTTCTTCTTCTTCTTCTTCTTCTTCTTCTTCCCGAACACAACCTCGTTGTGTTGTTGTGTGTATCTGTGATGCCTATTCGTGCGCAAACGGGAGTAATGTATTTGCGGCTTGGGTAAATGGCTCCACGAGAGTGAGGGGAGCAAACAGAGATCCGAGCTCACATGGCATGGAAACACTCCCTGCCATGTCTTCTGCTCGGGGAATCGTAAAAGCTAGGCAGCAGAAAGCAATTAGCTCTCCTCCAAATAATGGCACTCTTTCTTTATTTAGCTTATGATTACACTTTAATAACGAATCAAAGAAACAAAGTGAGAATGGGAACATCATATTATACAGCCACCGGAGTGCGTTCCACGTCGCAAAGCTTTCGATTGCTTTTGTTCCTGCAGCATTCAAAGGCAAGAAAAAAAAAAGCAAAAGGTCTCAAATTCTCATACCACATGACAAAAAAATGGGACGGACCCCCTTTGGCCTTTTCGCCAATTCGATTACCGAGACCTACTTTGCCATACCTTTCAGTGAAAGGGAAGGGAATCCGAGCAGCTTCCGTGGTTAGATTTGGAAGCAGAGAGAAGTGGTTGTAGTAGATTAGATAAAGAGGATAGTGGAAGGGGGAATACCTCCACTGGTGTACTGCCGCTGCTTCTTCTTCTTCTTGGTGGTGTTTGGGCAAAGAGGAAGTCCCATGACATGAATGCTGTTCATGGTCTCTCCATTTTCCTTGTAAAAGAGAAAACCAAAGAGAAGAGTCATCACGTGTGAAGCCATTCCTCTTTCGTTAGATTGCCATTCTCATAAAAGCTTGGAAAGTCAACGAGAACATGAGAATCCAGTACCACAAGCTGCCAACTTCCTTCCTCATGTCCTGCATCATTCACGATAGCAAGTTAATCCAAAACTCTCCTCCCCTGTTTTCCACCCTTCTTCTTTGGTAAATATATGCATAGATTACAGCTAACTTTGTTCCCTCATTTATCTCACATTACTGCGTTGCGACCCATGATCGAAATCTTCTTCTAGTTGGAAGATGCAGGATACTGATCCGCATTGTAATAGTAAAGGGAGACGAGAACATACCCTTGTCGCGGAAGATGTGAGAGAAACGGATGCAGAAGATGTCAATGCGGCCAGGCCGACGTTATAGACCATGGTCCCGTCGGGTTGATACAGTCCGTAGTTCCGCTCCGAGGTCGGCCCGGGCTTCATGTCCTCGTTGAACAGGGCAAACAAGTAGACCTCCAATCTCTGGTTTGGCCTCACCGGAGTCCCCTCGCTCCTGATCTGCCTCAGGAGCAGGTTCCTGTTGTAAGCCCTGGCGTTTTCCACGGTGGCGCCGACCTCGTTGGGGTCGCCTTTCGATGGCCATCCGGTCTCCGACACCCTGACGTCCACGCCGCCGTAGCCCAACCGGGCAATGGCGAAGATGACGGCGTCCACTTGAGCGTACAGCATGTTGTCGTAGCGAAGCTTGGTGTAAGGATCCACCATCCCTGCGTTCGGGTTGAACAGAACGTAGTCTAGCGAGACCTTCGCAGGGCTATCCTTGTAGGCGAAGTAGGGGTACGCATTGATCCAGAAGGGCGACTTCGTCGCGGCCAGGAACTGAAGGAACGGCACCAACAGGTTCGCCATCTCCGGCTTGAATGACCCCATCGACGGCGGGTACGAGTTCTCCAACACCGCCAGCGAATTCGCCGTCGACACGTGAATGTACGAGTCGAGGCCGAGTTGGACGAGCGCGGAGTGGATGCTGAGCAGCGCCGGGACGAGGTTCGACATCAAGGTCGGGTCGTCGCTCGTGTACACTTCGTTGCCGACGGAGATGCCGGTGATCTTCGTGGCCGGAAAGTAGGGTTGTACGTTGGTCATGACCCATTGCAGAGCTTGTCGAGGGTCCATCATCACGCCCACGGCCTCGTTCGGCACCGTCACGATGAGGTCGATGCCGGTGTTGGCGAATGCGGTGAGGACTCGAGGGTTGGTGTCGTAAATCCTCGTCTTGGTGATCCTTAGGGAGGTCAAGAGGAGGCGCACTTGTTCCGGCGATGGTAGATTGTTGGCTACCTGCCCGTAGTTGATGCCTAGCGAAGAACCAAGTCGAAGGAAGCCAAACTCTGCAAAAGAACACCACCACCACTGCTTTTACTCCACAAATATTTCTTCGCTTCTTATCTTATGGAAACATATTGCCGATTGCCGAGTCTAGTTTTAGACGATACATCCAAAGAAATGAAATTGGTCATAGCAAGATGTAGATGACAACAACGTTTCATTAGAGATGTATCGGTCGTATACAGGCATGAGAGAAACAGAGAAGAGAATGCACCTGAGGATAAAAGGTTAAACAGAAGGAACATCGAAACTATCCTTGACCTGAGCAAGATGGAGACAGCCATCAGAAGGGGAGAGAGAGAGAGAGAGAGAGAGAGAGAGGAAGAAGAAGGAGGGGGGAGAGACTTAAAAAAGAGACAAGGAGAGGGGGAGGTGGGAAGAGAAGGCGGTGAGGGCAATCTCTTTCCAATTCCTTTCTTTGCTTGCATGCGATTTAGGAAGAGAGAGGTTTGCCCTCTTGCCTTGCCTTGCCTTGCCTTGCACAAGTTGTCCTAGAGAGAGAATTTATATGGCTTTAAAGTCTGCATGTCTTTGGTGCTTGACTCGTGCCATGACTACTTTCTAGTAAGCCTTGCATATCTTTACAACGACGCCATCTTCCGTCCCATTCTTCCCAGATGAAAGAATTGCCCCAACCCTGCCGTTTACTTTAGACCAAAGAAATCACAACACACTGCTCTTAAGGTTTCTCCACCGAGTTGGACGGACATCGAAAGGATTCTGCTTCACCAACTCAGGTGGATGAAACATAATGCATTCATATAAAACAATGCAAACCGATCCATCTCATTCTAGAATAGCAGACGTCGGTATGTTCTGCGACGCAATGTTGCATGAAGCACTCGGTTCCTGTCGTTCATGGAAACCTGCCTTTCCTGTGCCTTTTCCATGTATGCTGATGTCATCAAAGCCCGTTTGCGGTACAAGGAAGGAACCGAACAGCAATAAGCAGGTTGAGATGAGGTTTCTCCATGCTAATAATGTTCGAGCATGGTCCACTTAATATTCTGCTGCATCATCATCATCATCATCATATCTATGTATATGTGAATCTATATGTATCGGGAAACAATGATGATTGCTCTTTAAAGTCTTACGCACATAGTGCAGTCTTACTCACAAGCGTCTCTCTCTTGTCAACACCCATTAGCCGAAAGGCCCACGAGAGTATACTGTTGCTGTCGATATATAATCGATGATCATTTATATCAAGCAGTGACAGGTCAAATTCCATTTGATTACGATTGCCTTTTTCTTTCTATACAACTTCCGACCAAAGCCAAATCCTATTCGACGATCATGTCAGCTGATTAAGGTCGTCCCAATCCCATCGAATGCTCCTTCGTCTACATGTTTGTTTTCCATGTGATGCTTGCTCTTGTGGGGGAATCAATCGAGAAAAGAGAGGGTGTTGTGCATCGGGATATGGAGAAGATAAAGCGAGCAACACATGATAGGTAGCCGATGACTTGGAGGGGGACAAAAGCTAGAAAGCGATTCATGGATGACGGACTGAGTACGTGGTGATGGGGACACGACGCGCGGTACCACCTCATCGTCATCCCCTTCCGCTTCCTCTTTTGTGCTCCTTCTTCCTCACCTATTCGATACCTGAACAGGCAACGGCGGCAAGAAAGACAGGCCGCCGCCGCCTCGTGTCCTTGCCCCTGCGGCAGCTGAGGTCCAAGTTAGGCGTCCGCCTTGTAGCTTTTCGCATTGTCTACCACCCTGTGCTACTTGTCGTCTTCCGGTCATCTGCATGAATGCACGCTCTTTTCGTGGGGGTTTCCTTTCTATCAATTTTACCAACTGCGTCTGTGACCGCCGGCGCTCCTTCGCATTGACATCGGAGGAGGAGAGTCTATAGGAGAAGGTGATCGTGATCAGTCTTACAGGGAGGCCTGCGAGTGGGCTGCCTCAGCCCAAACCATCTCTAATCTAATTAACCAAAACCGATCAAATCTACTTACTGTAAATAACAATAAAAACAAAATCATAAATTTTAATTATTTGAAATTGATTATATAGTTCATAATATTTAAAATTTTATTTCTAGTTTCTATCAAGATTTTTTTAGATATTCTTTTATCTCTTTCTTTAACACTCACATTAATTATTTTACCTATTCATACAACTCCTTAGCATATGTCTATTCTATCTTATATATATATATATATTATCCTCTAATGTAAATAGCAAAATTAATTCGAGTTAGATTAAGGTGGAACCCAATACTTGTTGTGCACAACACAACGTGAGAGGAAATAATGGGATGTTTGACGTAATATTTGGCTTCTTCCTCTCAGCCCATCCTGTTTTCAACCACGAGCTCTTCTTTTGCTATCAGGCAGACAGCAAGACGGTGCGTGCACACAGAACAACGCGTTTCATGTTAGGAGATCGAGGAAATTAGAAAGACGCCGACACCCTCTTCAGGGATGCCGAGGGACAGAGCACGGAAATGTAGGCGAAGAACAAGGAAGGTTGGACTTCCACATCCCTCGTTCCTCCTCCTCACTTCACCTACCCTTCTCTCCCTCTCTGTTTCCAAGGTCTGAAAACTAAGACAGTTCAGATCATGGACCGATCAATTCCGCCTGTAAGAGTCTGTCTTCCCAGTCCAGAAACAAAAACGATGGATCATAGCTGGACACAGCAAACCAGATGAATCAAGTATCATCCTCCCATGCTTTTGACCGGATGGTGTGAAGTAATGGCGTATGAAGTGCTAAAGTCAGCAACGGATGTACGCCCACAGCCTCCCTTTTACGTTCGGCAGATACTGCATCGGAGTCAATCTCGAACCGAGTGGTGCGGCGGAGTGCCGCTGCCGGACCTTGTTGCACGTGCAACTCCTCCCTCGCCCTGCGGAATTCGAGGGTTCTGCTGGCTCCCTTGATCTCTTGGATTCACGTCCAATGCAACTCCAGGCAGCCTCCTCGATTAATGTCGCATAAAACAATGTGACCTTAACTTCCAGATTTTGCTTCCTAAGACAAGCTTGAATACTTCACATGATGAAATAACCATAATTAAGGAAAAGGGGTCAAAGTTGCATGAGAGAAAGAGAGAGAGATGATGCGTGGGTATGGGATAGGAGTTGGGAGAATAGGAATGGAATGTGGCATGAGAGCTACATATTCTCTTATTGTCTCTATCTCTGTCACATGAAAAGGCCATTGCTTCTGCGATCTCTTCCCCTTGACTGGTCTGGAGATCTCCACACTCCTCGTGAGGCCATCTTTTGACAGGTCCCCTATTCAACAGCCATCTCCCTTTTCTCTCATTACACTCCAAGAACTGTCCATTAACTCGATCATCTTTGACTGTCGCATTAGACACTGTACATTGTTTCCACCTGCATACGCTTTGACTGTTGGCTGGTCGAAGTACTATTTAGCAGATCAAACCCTCTCGCTCTTGGCTTTCGTTCTCGTCCTTTGCCGCTATTCCACCGAGAGATCAACGAACCCTCGTTCTTGCTCGAGGTGAGTTCTTATGATGGAGATGTTCCTCCTCTTTTGTGCGCTTCCGTGTTAGCATAAGCCTTCTCTTCGTCTTCGTGTATTTCTCGGATATCAGAACGATCAAGTATGATTACCAGCAACCGGCAGCTGATGGTGCCTCCTGGCTTCCGGTTTCACCCGACCGATGAGGAGCTCCTCTACTATTACCTGAGGAAGAAGCTAGCCTACGAAGCCATCGATCTCGACATCATCGGGGACGTCGACCTCAACAAACTCGAACCATGGGACCTCAAAGGTCGCTCCTTTTCCTTAAGCTTTGTCCACCAAATCACGGAGGCTACCTTTCTTTTCAGAGCATGCATGACATACGAAGAACATGAAACTAATGTGGAGTTTGATGCCATGCAGACAAGTGTAGAATCGAATCGGGGCCTCAAAATGAGTGGTACTTCTTCTGCCGTAAGGACAAGAAATACCCAACCGGCACACGAACCAACCGAGCGACGGCTGCCGGCTTCTGGAAGGCTACTGGGAGGGACAAGGCCATACATCTTGGCAACTCAAAGAGGATTGGCATGAGGAAAACCCTAGTATTCTACACCGGACGAGCTCCTCATGGCCGGAAGACAGATTGGATCATGCATGAGTATCGCCTCGACCGAGAGACCTCAGAGGTTCAGGTGCAGAAGCATTCGTCTTTTACACCTTAAATATTAGTCTGATCATGAGATTTAGGGTCCAAACCCTCTCATCCGTTACATGCTCAATGCTCATTTGATATCCTCTACTTTGTTATTCTCTTTAAACTCTGCATCAATCGACGAACAGAAATTCCTATATTCAGCTGGTAAATTATGAACTCAGAGGATTCTGGTTTTGTATCGTGCAGGAAGATGCATGGGTTGTCTGCAAGGTTTTCCAGAAAAAGAGCCATCCGACGCACATCCTACCTGAAACAGTGGTCGAGGAAGACCAATTCGATTCCAGTGCAAGAAGCCCCCGTACGATGGAGAGGAAGCAAAACTTTCATCCGCCATCCGACTTCTCCTTCAATGTCTCGATGCATCTTCCCCAGCTACTAAGCTCTGAACCTTTTGTCTCTCCCCCAGTGCCTCCTGTTTCCATGAGATCGACGTTGGGCGGATGTGTAACTCTTCCACAGGAGAGGTTGAATTGGGATTGGTCCATCTTGGACAAGCTCCTCGCTTCCCACCAAAACCTGGATCAGATCTTACAAAGCAAGAGCAACCCCCCAACCCAGTTCCGGTGAAGTTTTTTTCCAAGGTTAATGACGCTCCTTCAATCGAGTAGGATTGCCATTAAGCCTACGATGTCCGGGATTCGAATGTACATAGATCGGGTGTTGTTTAGTCTACGATCATTTCATGGGTTTGCTTGGTCTCACCTGCATATCCGCTGCTGGAAATGGACATGTACTGTTTGTTTATTGTATTTCTCCGCAGTCCATGCTCAGGACAGAGCAGCGGGCCCTGTCCAGGCTTCGAGAAAGTGCAAGAGACAGCCCAATTCTTGCTCGACCGAGCCAATTCGCGGAGCGTGTGACTGCAGGTCGTGAGGTGGTGGTGGTGGTGGTGTGAACCTATTCAGTACGGATGACTCCTTTTCTTGTCTTCTCTGCAAGTTTCCTCGCAGCCTCGTCAACCATTTTGAGCTCCGTCATCTCCATCATTAATGGCTGTACTCATCTAAAAGTTAAAGCACTAATTGACGACCTATACATAAACCGAAAAACCAGACAAACATCGGTTTCGCATATGCAATGCAGGGGGTATGAATACGTCCGAGTGCAGAGCGACAGGAAGACGTGTCTCGCAATTCGACATGTTGAATCGGAAACGCGTGCTCGAAAGAGTAGTACCAGATATTACTAGCGCATGATTCGTTTGTGATAACTCCGGGAACTCCATATTCCTAACCGGGCAAGTGCATATATGCTTTGCCACCTTCTTGTGGTTTCACGACAACACCACCTTCTTCGTTCTTTCCGACCACAATGTGCCTCCTTTGACACCACTAACGCAAAAGGATTTTTCGCCTTCTCACTCGGCGTTCTTATCCTCTCCACCTTTTTCCATCGTAACAGGCAAGCAGATTCTTCAAAGCCAGGGAATGCATGTCGTCCAACTTCCCTCGACCGAAGGATCGGTTCGTGTTCGTCGCCATCTCTAATCCTACGGGCAAATGAGATGAGAAATTGTCGAACAGAATATGATCTCGAGTCGCATTGGTGCTTCCATCCGATTCTACCGGACAGGACAATTCAAGAGACCGGAGAAGATACCGATAATTGCGCAGCCACACAGTTACTACAACATGACCACAAACGTCTGTCGATGGATATAGATTCTACCACGTCGAACACGCAAGCCGCCCAAGGCGGAAAGACTATAAATGGGGGTGGTAAGTGGAGTACATCCCCATGACACCAGAAATCCTCGGCTCTCTATCCTACTTGAGTTCTTCTGCGTACTAATGAGCAGGGAAAGGGATCCTTTGGTGGTGGGCAGGGTGATCGGTGATGTTATCGACCCCTTCGTCAGAACCACCACACTTGGTGTTAGCTACGGATCTAGGAAGGTCACCAATGGCCGCGAGTTCAAGCCCTCCCAGGTGGTCAACCAACCCAGGGTTGAGGTCGGAGGACATGACCTCAGAAGCCTTTACACCCTCGTAAGACCGTCGGTACATGCGACCAAAGTCAAAAGCCTCGTGCTCCTTGTTTCTAGGGTTTCTCACGGTCTACGCAATGCAGGTGATGGTTGACCCAGATGCTCCGAGTCCGAGTGAACCAAACCTTAGGGAATACCTCCAATGGTAATAATTAACCTACTTGTCTTCTTCGTCGAGCAGCTCCATGTATGCGACGCTTGCAGTGATCATGATTCGTGCAGGTTAGTGACGGATATTCCTGGTACTACAGGAGCAACCTTCGGTGAGATGCGCATCGAACAGAGGACTGTTCTCAAATCTCGCAGTCATAATGTTTGCTCGTAAGTGTATATAGATATTTCCCTGGTTCTGTTGTGCAGGACAGGAGGTGATCAGCTACGAAAGTCCAAGGCCAACTCTGGGGATCCATCGCTTCGTGTTCGTCCTCTTCCTGCAGCTGGGACGGCAGACGGTGTACACCCCGGGCTGGCGGCAAAACTTCAACACCAGGGACTTCGCCGAGCTCTACAACCTCGGCTCGCCTGTGGCTGCCGTCTACTTCGACTGTCAGAGAGAGTCCGGCTCAGGTGGGAGGAGGATGTATCCCATGTAGCTGCTACTCGCCACTTGAACACTACTCTATCACTCTATCCATCTTGATTTAGCTGGGAACAACAGACATACATATGTATCTGACTACATGCCCACAACATAGCTGATGATAGGTGGTGACATCCCATGAATGGAGATGCACCTTCATACAATAATAACAAAATGGTAAGTTGTGGTTATTTAAAGTAAACTATATGCATTTTATCATAGCTGTAAAAAATTATATATTTAGTCATATTTAAAGTGTTTATATTTTTATTTATAACTTATATTAAGGATTTTAGATATTCTTTTATCTCTCATCTACTCATAGTACTAATATTCCGAGGTCTTCTTCTTAACACATGCCCATATTATCATTAATTTTTTTTATTTTATCTTCTATCAAAGTGATACTTAATTGTTTATAAATAAAAAAATTTGATGTATATAAATATATACTAAAAATATTAAAAATTTGGATAGGATTTATCGAATCTCTCGAAGAAGATTGATGTTTAAATTAAAAAATAATAATAATGCATGAAGAAAATGAGGAGATTTTCTATCTCTCATCTACTCGTAATACTAATATTCGGAGATCTTCGCAGCACATATCCATATTATCATATATAATTTTTTCTCATATTATCCTCTATCGAAACGATATATAATTATTTAAAATAATTTTTTTTGGTATATATAGAGATATATTAACATTGTTAAAAATTTAGATAGGGTTTATCGAATCCCACGTAAGATTGATGTTTAAATTTATAAAAAAAATAATATTGCAAGAAGAAAATGAGGAGATCTTCTATCTCTCATCTATTCGTAATACTAATATTCGGAG